CAGCCAGCTCTGCTTTTGTTTGCGCTTGAGGAAAGGGCAGATTTGAAGAAATGGGAGGAGGGGGCACACCAGCGAGGGGGGAACAGGGTTTCTGCCTGTCTCTGGGGGCCAGGAAGTGAGAACACCTGTGCTACCTGCATATGTGGATGGCTTCCAGCTCTCCGAGTAGTGGAGGGGTTTGCATCTCAGTGGAAGCGAGGCTGAGCCAGAATGCGGGTGCTCCTCCTGCGCTCAGCAGCAGGGAGACCTTGCAGACCAGTGAAAAGCTCCGCGGTCTGCAGGGGTGAACCACGTCCTTCATGGAGCAGCCCCTGCTGGTACCAAACCTTCATCTGCATGCAGTCGCCACCCTCCCCCAGCTCTGCTGGCTCCTGACCCAGGCGGCTCCACGGGAAGCTTGCCTCCCTCCAGTCCCTCACCTGGCATGACCTCCGGGTCGACACTGGGGTGCCCCTCTGCTTGGCCTGCCAGCCCCAGCCAGCTGATTCTGGAAGAGCGCTGCCTAGTTTTGCTTTCTTAAAGGCACGAGGAGCATGCAAAAAGCCCCGTGCCGGTTCTGCAGTCTCTGATTTGCCCTTGCTGATCCACGTCGGGAAGGACCTAGGAGGGTACAGGAGTCCTGGAACTGCTTGTGGCTCCGTGGGGCGAGTTGGCGGAGAGGCTGCTTGGTTGGTGGAGGTCGCTGTCAGCTGAGCCGGACAGACGTGGGGGGGGGGGTGCACAGCCCCCAGCTGCCTCCCTAGCACTGCATTCCAGCAGGGGCTACTGATGCACATGGCTTCGGCTGTCCCGGACCTGGTGGCCAGATGTGAGTCGGGGCACGGCAGTGCGCGGGGGAGTGTCTCTGGCGGAAATGTTACGCGCCCCTCACAGATCCGTCTTCTCTCCCCCACACCCCTCTCACACACACGGTCTAGGGGTGTGGCTGGTCCCTCCTGTGGCTGTGAGTCCCTCATGCAGAGTGCGTGGGTCAAAGCCCGACGTCAAGGCGCGACTCTCCCCGTCTTTGTATTTGGATTTGTACCCGCAAGGGCCTGCGATGCCCCCCCCCACCCCACCCGGTGCAGCTAACGAGCACTCGTGCCTTCGGAGCGAGCAGCCGCAGGAGAGCCAAGCTGCCGCGATGCGCCTTGAGGGCCGCTTCCGCGGTTCAGGGGCAAAAGGGCCTTGCTGAGGTGGGAGAAACGCGTGAGGAACAGGCACGTTGGCAGGACGGGCCGCTGGCGCACGGGCATCGGGCATCTGCCTGCCATGCTGCCGGGATTTGGGCCCTTTGCAGCTTCTGAAGGTCACGAGCCCAGAGGCAAGATCAGGCCAGACACCCCTCTGCCCCCACAGTGACCAGAGATGCTCCAGTGGAGGCCGCAGGCACGCCGCGCGCTTCCCCGGGGCTGGCGTGCTGCGGAGGGAGGGAGGGAGGGAGGCGGGCTGGTGCGTCAAGCTGCGTGTCCCCTCCGGGCTGTGGCGGTGATAGCCATCCCCTGGCCAAGCCTGGCACTTCCCGTTTAAAGCCCTTTTGGCGGGTGGCTGTCGCCACATCTTGTGCCAGCGGGCGCCATGGATAAGCTGCGCGGCATGTAAGTTGCTCCCTTGAGCCTCCTGAATCTCCCACAGTGGGCAGCCCGGCGGGAGGAAGAAAACTTGTCTTGTCACACCACGCATAATACTGTTACAGATGTCCAGCTCATCTCCCCCGCCGCTTTGTCTGTGTCCTGCGCTGTGGTCCCTTGCCTGGGGAGGTGCCTGGGCAGCTGCGCCAAACACCTGGTTGCCCTTTGCTACACTCTGCAGTGACCGCTTCAAGGCGTGGCAGCCAGCACGGCCACGTCATTCTGGTGTGGTCACGACACAGGCGCACATCAAGATGCTTGCCCAAGCCACGCACCCGCCGTACCCTTGGCACGACGACCCCCATTGCCCCAGCCAGCCTGGCCTGTTGATGGAAGAAGGAAACTGTCGTCCAGAGCATCTGCAGGGTGCCAAGTTAGAGGAGGAAGGTATAAAGGCCTTGCAGTCTTTACGCTGCCCACGATCCCTCATACGGTGGTCGCCCTTTTCACAGTGGTGGCCCACTGGGCCAACATCTTCGCTGAACTATTCGCTAGTACGCCAAGATTTTCTCACACTGCTCGTCCCTTGACCTTTTCTCGCTCATTCTCCCGCTTTATAGGGATCCGAGTGGATTCTTTGCAGTCCGTTCTCGCTTGAGCCGCTCTGCATGGCATGGGCACACCAGGCCGGCTCTGAGAGCTGGTGCGGTGCAGAGGCGAAGGGGGGGCTGGGACTGAGAAGACCTTGGTCACATCGCCCGCTGGGTGACCTGCGGCCCGTCGCTGACTCGCAGCCGGCCCAGTGCACCTCGCGGGTTCCCTGTGTGGATAAGGACTCTGGGCGTTTCCTTGGGGTTCCTCCCCAGAGGAGAAAAAGGTGGGGTAGGAAGGCTGTGCAGCGGTACTGCCAATGCTCTTGCGGCTCCCCCCACCATGGGGTCATGGCAGAGCATGCTGAAGGCATCCCCCCCGCTGTGGAGCCGCGGGGGAGGCCATTTCTCACATCCCCCCGTTGTGTGAAGGGTCCGCTTATCCCACTCTTTGCTCCTGTGTATATTTAACTGGCTCTGTATGTGTTGAGGGAAGTCAGGTGAGCGATGGAGCTTGGCCCACAGAAGCCACGGCCTTCTCGCTCCCGGCCTTGGCTGGCAGCCACCGGCAGCTCCGGCCTGCCTGTTTTATCATTTTGTTTGCTGCCGCTTTTCCTGGATCTTCTTGAGGTCTGAGCCGCATGATCAGCCTGTGCTTTGCTATAGCTTCATAATCTCTTCATTTCTTTCTCCCCGACTCTTGCCTTCCGTTCCTCCTTTGTTTTTTAGCTTCTGCCTGGGAAAAAACTTTACTGGCAACAGCACGAAGCTTCTCAGCCTCCCCTTTGCACAGTGAACCCAACCCCTGTTCCTGTCTTCCATGTAAGCGCCAACCAGCTTGGGCTGAGCTGATTCAGAGCCCGTCAGGAATTAAGACAACTGGTTTGGAGAATGGCAAACTACTGAAAATAATGCATAATGGAAACATTTCACTAGCCCTTGTGGTAGCCATAACTGGGAGAGGATAAGATCCTGCTCTGTGGATTAGCAGAAATGTGAGTGGGGGCCTGGGCCAGATACTTCTCTCCCAAAAACTCGTGGAAGAATCCGTTGTCGCTTCTTCCCACTGTGACTCCTTCCACCAGGCTGCATATCGACCTTCCCCAGCCTAGTGTCCTCCAGCTGTTTGCAATGCAACTCCCAGCAGGAGTGGATCATTAAATGGCAGATTTAATGGAAGGGGCCTGCGAGGTCATCCGGTCCAACCCGCTCCAAGTTAAAGCATCCTGGACAGGTGGCTGCCCAGCTGCATCTCGAATGCCTTCAGGATGGGGGGCTCTCTGGTTAAAGTCCCAAACACCTGGAGTGCACCAGGTGTTGGGGAGGCCGCTGCAGCACCTTTTCCTTTGTTGATCTCCCTCTTTTAGACAAGAAACCCAAAACACCTAATTTTTCTTGATCTTTAAATTAAAAGCAGTTTCTGTCCACAGAGCTTTTGGGGTGTTGCGCCTCTGCCATGCCCGTGGCTTGCTCCACAGTCCCTGTACACCGATGCCCCTTGCCTTTCCTGGTGAGGCCGGCGCATCCTCTCTGCATGGGCGTAAAAGCTATTCCGGGTGGCGTCGTTGGCATCCCTCTTGGCCAGCAGGCCGCATTTGGAGCAGAAGGAGATTCAAGTGCTGCTGGGCACTTCCCGCAGTCCACTTTCTCTGTGAGAGTGTGCGCCACCCCTTTGTTCCAGTTTACGAGATAATCGGGGTGCAAGGCTTTCTAGATGCCCAGCGTCACGACCAAAGAGGCCCCGGCCAGGCAGGACTGGGAGCACCACTCCGGCAGCGAGGCAGGGTGCCCGGGAGCAGTGTTGGTTCCTCCTGCTGCCCTTCTGTCCCAAATCAACTGGATTTCGATGCCTGGTCTCCTCTAAAGTTCGGGGGATAGTGTAGGGCAACCATGACAGTTCACATGCCTCTCTTTGTAAGGGCAGGTGAATGTCCTGCGCCTGCAAGATGAAGAAAGACCTAAAAGACCGGTCGGTCATGTGAAAGCTCCATCTGAACCAGCCCCGGTCAGCCAGATTCCCCGGAAGGTATTGGGGTTCCCATGATTGAACACGCACTGGACGGCTCTCGAGAGGCCGGGTGCCTCTGAACCTGTGGCAGCCAGTGGCCCTGCCTCCTCCGTGGCTTTGCGTAATCCCCTCGCGAAGCCCTCCGAAGCCAGTGGCCGGAATTGTGTCTTGTGGCGGGGAATCCACTGTGTTCAGCAAGCGTTGTGTGAATGCGCAGGTTCATCTGACCTGACACTGGGAGCGGGAGAGCACAGAGGCGGCAGTCCCACCCCGCACCCGCCCGCCCTCCCGCCGCAGGCCGCGATCCCCCCATCTCCACACTGCAGCTGCTGAGGGGGGTCTTGCCAGCGCTGCCGCCAGCGAGGCGTCCCCACTTGCCCACCATGCCGTGCGGCTCCTGGGGACACCAGCTTCTCTTGCTGCCCCAGCCCCACAGAGGAGCTGCCCCCCACCCCCTCGCTCCTGCCCTGCCTCGGCCCCCCCTTGGAGCCGCGCGTCGAATCCTGCAGCAGGGAGCGTGCCCGGGCATCATCCGGGGTTTGCTCGCAGGGGGGTTTTGGGTCCCACTCCGGGGTACCTCTGGGCCATGCTGGGCCTCGTGTGCCCACCTGTGGCCTCTCCTCGCTCACGCGGCACCTCCCCATTCCGTGCTCGCGTTGGGCTTTGGCCGGAGAGGCCGGGTCCACGCCCCTTCGGCCTCAGCACCTGCTCTGAACGGGCCAGGCCTTGGTGCGCTACGGGTGGAGAGCAACTTCTGCCTGAGGAGACCCCTTCCGCGCACTCGTGGCAAGGCCGTGCGCAGACCCCCTCCAGCAGCACGGCCGAGCGCGTTACCAGCACAAGATTCTCGTCTCACTGTACAAGTAACTTGGGTTTATATTATGGTAATCAATGACATGAATCTCCAGCATGTATTGATCTTAGCCCCACCCAAGGCTCTGCGAGCGGAGCAGCCCACCGTGCCGCACCCCCGCTTCAGCCTCTCTTCCTCCTCCTGGCATCCCACCCACAAAGCAAGAAGAGCTTCCCGGCAGGATCAAGGTCCCTGAGGATCGCCCTGTCGGGAGTGGGCTTGAGCAGCAGGACGCCCCCTTCGTGGCAGCACCAGTCCTGCAGCGCCTGCCTCGTCGCAGCAGAGCAGAGTCCCGCCTTGCCTTTTCTCGCCGGCAAATCCAAGCCCCGAAGGTGCTCAGTGTCTCCTCCGGGCCAGCCTGCTATAAGTTTATCCTGGGCAGAACCACAGAGCTCCTGGCGGCAGTTTGGTGCAGGCTGGAAGGATCTGTCCTGTTGCTTTCCATGTGTGGGTTCTCCCTCGTTCCGTCTCTCTCTTAAACACCTCCTCCTCCACCACCTTCCCGAATCCATCATTGTCTAGCTTCGAATTGCCGTCTTCCTGTCTCTGTCTTTACTCTGCAAAGGGACAAGAGTGGATGAACAACGTTAGGCAAAGCACTTCTGGTGGAGAGAACAGCTGAGGCTGCTCCAGAAAGCACCTGGCTGCCGCAGGGATCCCTTTTTGTCCGTCTGCGCTGCTGCTGCTGTCTTTCCTACAAATGCTCCACTGAAGTCCTCGCTAGGCCCGCCTTGTTCATTTGCGCTCCTTGTGCCCGGACTTCTCCCCCCTTGCACCCTGTTCCTGCATGCTCCCTCCTCCTCCGGAACCATCGGCCCTTCCTCTCAGGCAGCCTCTCTGTAAGGCGACGGGGGCCTTGATGGCACCTCTGCCATTTGGTGCTGCCTTACAGCGAGGCGCCCAGCGGATTGCGGACGCTGCAGCCTGGCTCCATCCCAAACCCACGCGCCCATCAGATGCCAGGGCAATGGATGCTCAAAAGCTTCACGAAGGAATGTGGGGTTCCAGGGCTGTGGGGACCAGCGCTCTCCCCCGGCCTCCCTGCTTCTCTGTTTGGGGCGCGCCCTCGTCTGCCCTTCTCCATCAGCCCCCTGCCCTCGGGATAAGCACGAAACGTGGACCGCAGTTTGACTGGGTCTGCCCGAGCAGATCCCAGTGACGATTTGGCGAGGCGCGCCCTTCGCTCCCACTCTGGCCCTTGGCTCCCGGCGAGCTCAGCAGCGAGGGCGAGCGCTCGGCCTGTGGAGGGACCAGGGCGCGGGGCAGCAAGCACTCGCTCGTCCTCGGGCGGGCGGAGCGGCGGCAGGCGTCCCCCGGCTGCCCGCGCTCTGGCAAGTCAGCCTGTTTGGGGGTCTCAGAATGGCCGGGCAGGCCTGCCGCCGGAGCAACCTGCCCCCAGACTGCTGCCCCCGCTGCGGCCGCGGTGCTTGGGGCTTTTGTTTGCTCAGGACGGGGCCTCCGGCTCCCCCGTGCGCTGTGCCCGGCGTGGGATCAGCGGCTGCTGTGGCCCATGCTCGCGGCAGCCTCATCCTTTGTGAAAGGGGAGGCCGGGGGGGGGGGTGTTCAGCTCAGAAATGGTGAAATTAAATTTCCCAGATGTTCAGGCCCCAGGAGTTCTCTTGCTGTCTGGAGAGGAAATGGGGATTCGGAAAATCCCGCCTCATAATTTTTCCCCTATCACCTTGCCTTTCCGCTGCCATTAAGTTAAGCAGGAACAGTAAATTAAGGGGATTGTGAAGCAGGCCCATCTTCGGGGGTGGGGGTGTGAGCGCAGGAAAAGGCACCTCCTGGCCCCTGCGCCCCAAGCAGAGCAGCACAGCTGGCCTCCAGGTGCCCACTGGCCGCGGAGCCAGCCGCCCTGGGGCTCCGGCTGCAGCTTGTCGCCTCCGCCGTGCCACGGGGGGAAGTGTGGGCGCTGGAAGAGCCTGGAGCTGGGCTCTGCCCGGCAGCCGAGCGCCTGGCCTTGGTGGCCTTCCCTCCAGCGCACGCCCAGTCCCAACCGCATGCATGGAGCTGGGCGGAAGGGATGCCCCCATCTGAAAAACTGCTTGTCTTGCCTGATTAAGCAATGCGGTGTGAAAACGAGCGGGCGTTTGCAGCCCTGGGCCTCTAACAAGAGACAGGCGTGCGCGTCAGGAAGGCTATCTAGGCGTGAATTTAAACAAGTAGCCATGACATCAGCAAAGCGATTCTGCACCCTTTTGTTTGAGGATGGGTGTAGACCCGGCCCTTTGCTTTTGCTCAGCAAGCACGTTGAGGTCAAGCGCTTTTCTGCCCTGGGGGGCTGCCATGGGGCAGGAAGCCTCCTTTGGCTGCGGACTGGAGAGGAGGCCGGTGGCTTCCAATATATGCCTCCGACCAGCTTCCCAGGCACCAGCCTCTCCTACGCGCAAGTTGGCCGCTTCCAGCTTTGTCCCATCAACTCTTCTCACCTCTGCAGGATTCTCTGGCCATGTGGGGCAGGTGGGTGCCGTGTTTTCACACATGCAGAGCGTGTGTCGGATCATGCACTGTTACAGATCACCTCGTGTTCTCCTTAAAATCGCTAAAACAAGTTGGGCTTCCAGCACGGTCCAGGAGCACGTCTGGTCAGGCATCCTGCCTCACGCCCTGCTGAGCATTTCTGGGCACTGGACTGCGCAGGTGCCGTTTCCTTGTTGTGCCAGTTACATCTGAGTCGAGCCGGGGGGGCGGGGGCAAAAGCACTCTTTGCCTCTCTGACAGCATCCCGGAGCCAAAACGGGGGGGGGGGGGTATGGCCTGGGTAATGCCGAGCTGGCACCCAGGGGCTCATATGCCTGTTTCCCTCTCTGGTCCTAATCAGGGGCTTCTGCCCTGGACATTTCCTGAGCAGGGAAGCCTTTACGGGGTGCGGGGGGAGGTCTCTCTTCCTTTGCTGGCCTGTGAGAGGGTTCCCTCAAGCCCTGACCCCCCTAGACCTCCAGAGGCGCAGCTGCCTCTCTCCTTTCGGAGCCCACTTAGCCTCCCGCTGAGTTGCGACTTCAAAGTGGGGCCTTTTCCTGCTCTTAAGCAAACAGCTGCTTGGAAGGGAGGGAGGGTGGGAGGGAGGGAGCGTCACGGAGCAGAGGAAAGCGGGTACAGGCCACCAGAAACCCCTCCTGCGTCTGCTCTTGGGGAACCTGAAGCAGCCCGGTTGCACTGCCTCCCATTCTCGCGGCTTGGGGAATCTGTTTGGCGCTGGGGACATGAAGTGAAAGAGGGCTTGGGATGGGGGCGCGTGGCCACGCCACGCCGAGCACGGGCGGGAAGCCCCGCGAGGCCAGTGGCGTTTCGCCCTGGCGGGAGGCCTTCCCACAGCCGGGGCCAGCCTTGTGGCGCCCTTCCCGGCAGCCTCCGAGGGAACCGGAGGAGGCGAAGGCAGGAGGCACCCCGGAGCCAGCGCGCGCGGCAGCCTGCAAAATCCACGCCTCGCGAGAGGCCCAGGTGCTCCCTGTCCCCTTCCTTGTCCGTAGGTAAAGCTGATGGCCATCGTGGTTGCAGAGGTCTGTTGGGGAAGTGTCCTGGGTTCTTTTTTTAAGGCTAAAGAATTCGAGTAAGGTGGCCGGTAAAAGGAAACCCCAGTGAATTACTTTTCAGGCTGGTCTGGCACCTTGCGCGGCCAGGGAGCACCCTGGGGGTGGAAGGGGGGGCACCTTGCGTGGCCGCCATGGGCTGGGACCCATGAGCCGCCCTCGCCTGGGCATCATGGGCGTGGGCCGGGCTGGGGCAGCAGCGGGGTTCGTGCCCAGTGGCTGGGTGGGGAAACCAGCTCCTGTAGCTCTCCAAGCTCTCCAGGGAGATTTTGGGAGAGTGGGTGTGTAGTAGACCCATGTGCGAAGAGGATGGCACATTTGCAATGTATGGCCATCGCAGAAACGTTCCACGTTTTGTACAAGTTTGCGCGCACCACTTAAAGGATTGCTCATTTAATTAGTTTCTATACTGCTGAACAGCCAGCGCTCTGGGAGGGTCACAAAGCCTTCGAAAGGTTGCCCTGAATAAGGATGGCCATGGCCCCTTACGATCCCTTCCCATTGTGCCCCGCGCATACACACTGAACGAGGCGCCCGCCTGCCAAGAGGGCCCCGGACGGCCCCCATTCCCGGCTCCCCGTGCCCCGCGCCAGCCGTGCGCCTGCGGGGTGGGAAGCGCTGGACAGAAGGGAGGGGTGCTTCGCCCGGCGAGGAGCGTGCCATGCTTGTGAGCCTCCCCAGGAAGGCGGACGGCCACCGGAGGCGCTGGCGGGGTGTTTAGAAACCAAGCCGTCCGGAAGAGGCCCTGCTGGGGAGCGGGCCGTGGCCCACGTCGGCCCGCGGGCTCACGCAAGAGGGCAGTGCAGGGGAGCGGCCGGGCCGGGCCCCCTTGCCCGTGCTGCCAGCGCATTGTGGCCACGGCCACCTGCGCGGGACTGCAGCTGCGTGGAGGCTCCCGGCGCCTGGGATAAGGGGCCCCTTCCCGCACCGGTTGATGAGGAGGTGGGAGCAGCGGTGGAGGGGCACGCGGAATGGGTTAGGGGCGAGGGGGCTGGCTCCAGCAGCGGACTGGCAAGGCTTGGTGCCACGGCGGTGCCAGAGAAGGCTGCGGCTCGAGGCCGAGGCCCAGCTTCGCGTGCAGGCGTTCCCAGGTTCAGTCCCCAGCATCTCCACGTTTGGCTGGGAAGAAACTCCTCGCTGGAATATCAGTCTCGGGAAAACCGGACTGGCGGGACAAGGGGTCTGGCCCTGTGTGGACGGGGGAGTGGGCAGGACGCTGGGCTGAGGCGCCGGCAGGTGACCGCTCTCCTCGGGACCGGGCTTGCTGTCCTTGCTCTCGTGGGCGCCCCTGGCTTCCTCGGGCGGCGTGTGCCTTGAGTGCAGAGGGTCTCCGGCTTGTGCCTCGGCGGCGCCTCCAGGCAGGGAGGCCGGGTGGCGGGAGGCGTGCGGGGAGAGCCAGTGCCACCCGTGCAGAAATGCCGGTCTCGGTGGGCGGTGAGCTTGGCCGGCCGGAGGGTGGCTCCCTGCGTCCCACGGTCGAAAGGTCCAAGAGCCGCTTGGAGTGCCTGCACCCCGGTGTCCAAGCGGCGACCTTTTCGCCTGGCCCAGGCCGGGGGCAGGGAGCCGCTGTGGCACATGGGCTTGCAGGCCAAGGGAACGGACGACACTGCCCTTGCCCCATCCCTTGACTGAGCCTGCGTGGCTGGTGTCTGCAGCCCAATCTGCTTCTGGTGTTCTGTTGGCCGCGATTTACTTCCGTTTCTTTATTAATGTTTTCGCAAGTTCTATGTGTTTAAAGGTACGTTGGTGTATTTACTTTTGAACTGCTGATAGCTATTTCTGAACACGTTCAGAGGCATATGAGCAATACTGCCCGTCGGCCGAACTCTTCCTGTGCCGGGGCTGCTCCGCTTGCCTCAGGCCCCCTCGTGCAGAGCAGAGAGCGTGGGGCCTCCTGCTAGCAGGGGGCATCGCACCGAAACCGGGCGGCAGGGGGGCACACCTAGCAGCAATGCAGTGGGAAACTGCCCCCCAGCATGCAAAGCAAGGGCAGTTCCTCCAGTCGGGCTGCACGGTGCCGCGTCGGATGCGAAATCCTGTCGAAGCAGATGAGAAAGACCACATGGGTTGGTTCTCAAGGCTTCCCTTCTTTCATGTCAGTGATTACAAACAGCATTGAATAGCGTTTCTGGAATCTATTGTACGCTGCCGTTGTCCCCCACTCCCCCGGCAAGAGTCTGTTTCTTCATCTGGTGTTCATTAGATGGATAGGGCACCCTTCCACGGAAAACTGCGCTCAAGGTGGGAGACGTTAAAATGCAGACGACGTTATAGTGTCATAAACCCTTGAATGGGTCTTCCCCTTCTCACAACTTTTCCACCCTAAATATAGAAGTCAGGTATTAAGGTAGAGCTCTTGCTGTCTCAAGTTGTTCAGCTGGTTGTAGGAAAAGTGCATTTGCTCTCCTTCCCAAAATGTTTGGTAAAGCATGACGGTCCAGGCGAGCAGGTGGATGGAGGGGCCGCCTGCCCTGGCCCGCGGTTCCCCGCTGTTTGTTTGCGACGATCGGAGCGGCCCCTGCCACTCTCCTCCGCTTCACAGGCCTGCGTGTGGAAGTGCCTGCCAGCAGTGGAGCGGATTCTGCTTCTGTGGCAGACCTCCCTTTTCACGCTGAAACCGAAGAAGGCGCATTTTCTTTCCGCGCGTCCCCCTCTTTTACCTGGAGTCCCTGGGCGGACGCTGGGGACTTGGCGGTTCCCGAGAGTCACACGAGTGCGTGTGCTCCAGGATGCTGTTCCTCCGCAAGGCGTAGCATGCTCACCCCCGCGGCCCCCTGTGCTTGCCGTCCCACTTTGAAATATTTCAGGGTGCTGCTGGGTGGCGAGGCTTGCCTTTGGCAGTGGGGTCAGGCCCGGTGGGCTTCCTGAGCCGTGGGTCCTGAGGTTGAGCGCTCACCCCTCGCTCCAAGTCCAGAAGCCAGGCTGAGGGGAAGAGATTTTGAGAGAAACCGGCACATTCCAAAATGGAAGGGCTCACTAGCTAGAGCGATAAAATGCTTGCAGTCGATCGTGCGCCCTTTTAGTTCGAGTGAGCAGGGGTCTCCGAGGCACGCGCTTTGCTCTTCGCTGTGTGAGCCCAAAGGCAGCAGCGGTGCAGGCGGAGACGGCGTGGATCGCACCACCATTCCCATGCGCCACCGCCCTTGGGAGCCTCTCCGGCCGAGCAAGCCGGGGTGGCCGTGCGCTGGGGCTCTGCCCCTGCAGTTCCTGACCCTGGCAGCCTTCCCCTGCACGCACACCTCAGGACCGGGGGACTCTGCCGCTTCCCGCTCCAGGCGCTGCCGAGGCGCACGGCGTGTCCTCGCGAGACATTCGGTTGCTTCAGTTATTGTGAACCACCCAGAAATGTCCAGCTGTATGAACCGCCCAGGGAGCTTCGGCTGTTGGGCAGTATAGACATTGAATGATAGTACAGGAATCTCGTAGAACAAATGCATAGAATCAACAGATGCAGTGGACAAATAAGATGAAATAAACGGAGGTCAGACCTTCACCCCCCACTGCCTGCCACCGGCACACTGGCGGGCGGCTCCCCTGTTGCCTGCCGCAGCCTGCACGGCCTTGCCTGGAGCCGGGACCGGAGCCGGACCGTCTGTACGCGGAGCAGAGCAGAGCAGAGCAGAGGGGGGCCCACCAGGGGCATCCTGAGCGCTCACTCGGGAGCAGCGCCGCCTCCTGCACGGCCAGTGGCAGCCAGAGCGCCTGCCCGGGGCCCCGGGTTCCTTTCCCTGCCTGCAGTCCCAGTGGTGTGCTTCCCGGGCACCTCTCGCGCAAGCGTGCGCCACCGTCGTGCCAGTCTCCCCGCCTGGGCGTCGTTCTTCCTGGGCAACCCGCGTTGCACGCGAGGTCTGAGTGCCGGCGCGGCGCATTTTGTTGCAGCTCCCAGCACGAGGCAAAGCGGCGACTTCTGTCGGAACATCTCCTTTTCCTTCCAGGATTCCAGTCATGTGCTAATGACTTGCTGCACCAAAGCAATTGGCCGATCAAATATCGAAAAGCGGGGTTTGGACCTCTTCTGACTCCTCTGAAGGAGGATTCAGGAATTTGGTAGGCACGTTGTCTTGCGCCCGGTACTCCCTCCAGCCTGTTTGCATCCGGCGGCATCCCGTTGCTCCGCGTAAGGGCTGAGGCCTTGCGTTGCTGTGAATGCAGGAGGCGCGTTTTGCCCTGTCCTTGCCCCGTTCACCCGGCGCAGTGCTGGCCGCAGTGGTGATACACGCACGTGCCTGGTGGTGCGGTCGATGCCGGAGCCTGCCGAGCACCTGCCGGCCACTGGGTGGGCCTCCCCGCCCGAACAGGGCCGTGCATCTCGCCCTTTCACTGGCCGAATGCCCTTGTGACTCGCTCACTCTCTCACCACAGTCTAGTGAGCGAACCTTCGCTCCAGGAGGCTTGCCTGGGGCTGTCCGTGGGTCTGGCTGTGGCGCGGGAGCCGCTCTCGCGCTCTCCAGGCCGTTCGTGGGGGGACGTGTCGAGCGAGGGCCTGGCACGCGGCAGAAAGGCCCTTGTCCTCCTGCAACGGTGGCAGCGCAGGGCAGGCCAGGCCAGGCCAGGCCAGGCACGGCCGCGCGGTGCAGTGGGGGGGGCCGAGCGGACAAGGCGGGTGCCTCGTGCAGCTGCTGCGAGGCGGCGTGGGGCCGAAGCAGAGGCTGGGGAGGGATGGCAAGTGGCCCCGGCTCCACCTGCAGCTGAGGCGCGACATTCGTGGGGTGGGGGATCTCTCCAGTCCTTCACTGGGAAGCGAGACCTCGTGTAGGGATGGGGAGGCCTCCGCCGTACAGGGTCCACTTCTTCCACTGGAACCGTCCGGACAGCGGGCACCAGTTTGCGGAACAAAGTGCTCTGAGCACATGCTCAGTCCAGGAATTGGTTTCTGTAGCAGAAGTGGCGCTCATGCAAAGGTCTCTTGCAGCAGGGACCCACCTTCCTTTCCGCAAAGCATTTCTTGACTTAGCAGGCTAAATCAGGAGGAGAAAATGCCCCTTTCGGTTTTGTTTGCTTCTCTGCCGTTGGGATTGGGAAACCTTGGCTGCTCTGCTGGAAGTCACCTGAAGGTCTGTTAGTAGATCCTGGTCTAAGCTCTACTTGCCCCGTGGGAGGAGAGCTGTGGGGAGAGGCAGTCGCGGGACCTGCTTCCTCTCCCCGGGGAAGCCGTTTGGCAAGCAAGCCACCCTCTCACGCCTGAGGTTTCTGCTCCAGAGAACCCTCCTAAACCAGGCGAGGCGTCGCAGCCCACGGGCTCGTAGGCACAAACTTCTCCAGGACGGCTGACTTGCCATTCATTGTCGAAGGCTATAAGGGGCCCCCGCTACCCCTCCCCACTCATGCGCCCGCCTGAGCTGTGCAGGGACAGGATCGCAGGCCACACGCCCCGTGACCGGGCAGGCCGTGCGGCAGGTGCTGCGTCGGGAGCTCGGCCCCAGCGCCTCTCCTGGGGTGGCATCGCCTCCTGCCCTTCGTTTGCTGAGCGGAAGGTGTGAACGGCTCCGTCCAGGTCATGGCAGGAATGATGGCGGGCCAGCTGGTCAGCACTAGCCCCCCCGCCCCACCCGAGGGCCTGCAGCCCCCTGAGGGCAACTCCAGCCTGGCCGCCTTCTGCCCCAGCCACCCCCCCAGGTCTCTTCGGGGGCCAGCGATCTCTCCTTGGCTGGCTTATGCATCCTCTTCTCTTCCCCTGCGACCAGAGGGATTGGTGCGCCTTCCAGATCCCCGCAGTACACGGTGGGGTGAACTCTTGGCCAGGGTCGGGGCCCGCCGTGTTGGGGTTGCCACTCCTTAGGGGTCTCGGAGCCCCCCTTGGGCCTCCTCCCACCTCCCGCCCCCCAGCCGGAAGAGCGCGGGGCTTACCATCTTCCTCTGGTTGCTGAGGCAGAAAGTGCAGATCTGCTTGGGCTGGGAGCCTTCGCTTTCCCTCGTGGGTGGGCTCCTGCCGCCGCCGCCGCCGCTGCCGCCGTGGTGGAAGAAGGCCGGCGTGGTGTGGCACGGCTGCCCGTCCCCACACGCCTCCCCCACCAGCAGGACGTTGCCCAGGTGCGAGATGTAGCTGGAGGCCAGGCGGAGCGTCTCGATCTTGGAGAGCTTCCTGTCAGCCGGCTCCGTGGGGATGAGCGTCCGCAGCGCGGTGAAGGCAGTGTTGACGCTGTTGGTGCGGTCCCGCTCCCGCGCGTTGGCCGTGTGGCGCTGCCGGGGCTCCCGGCTGATCCGGCTGCTCTTCTTGCTGCTCCGCCGCTTGCCGCCCTTGAGGCCGTACCCGCCCGCGTCCAGGTGGTAGGGCTTCTCGTCCGAGCCCGAGCTCTCGCTCCCGTTCTCCTCGTCCTCCGACAGCATGCTGATCTCGGGGTACAGGAACCGGCTGGGGGCCGAGCGCAGCATGGCAAAGGACATGGCCGGGCTCCGGAGGGGGGGCACGGCCAGCAGCGGGGGGTCCGTGTGGGCCGCCACTCTCAGCTCCACCGCCCCATCCCCCAGCCGGCGGTGCAGGCCGGCAGGCGGGCAGGCGGCCCCCACGGCCCCTTCCCTGACGCTCGGGGGCCCTGCCCGGACCGTCTCCCAGCAGCCCGCCGGTGGCACGCGCTCCGCTCCCCGCACTGGCGCGCCTCCCCTGCCCAGCCGCCCCGGCGGAGAAGGGGCTGAGCCCTGCCACACACACGGCACTGCTGTGCTCCCCCTCGCACACGTGTGCGTGCGTCTCGAGGCTCCGTGTGGCGTGTGGCCGAGCCGAGCGAGCGCTTTATAGCGCCAGCGAGTGGCTGGCCGGAGAGGCCCCTCCCCTGCGCGCATGTCACGCCTACCTGAGCATTCCTTCCCGCTGGGCGAAGGGGGCGGCAGTGGCGGCGCGCACGGGGCGGGGGAGGACGGCGCGCACGGGCCGCCCTCACCTGTGGGGTCCCGGCCTCGCCTGCCCGGCAGGTCCCTCGCACGGGGCCTCGGCAAGGGGTGGCCGGGCCTGCTGGCATCCTGGCAGGCACTGGGCGTCCCGCAGAAGCCCGGGGAGCGGCAGTGCCGTGGACGCGGCGGGCCCGGCTCGTGTGTGTCCTCCCCGGAGGCACCGTCAGTGCGATGGGGGGGGGCATGCGGGGCCTCCGAAGCGAGTGGCATCATCCCAGTTCCTGGAGAGGGAGAGGGGAGCACTCGCGGTGGCGGCATCCCTTCCCTCGTCCCCTCCTCCTCTCACCAGGCATAACCAAATTGATCCTGCTGCTGCTGCTAATGGGGCACAGCGGGAAAGATTAACCCTAGCAGAGCCGGGCTTCGCGGAGAAGCACTTTCCTGCTCGGCCTGCGCCGCCCTCTCGCATCCTGCGCCACGAGTGCCTGGCCCTTGGCTCTCCCTCCCGCGTGTCAAGGTGGACGGGTGCCCCTCCCCTCGGTTGCAAGCTGCCGCGAGGAGTGCTCCTTCCAGGCAAGGGCTGCAAATGCACAGCTGCCCTGCCCTTCCTTCCTGCCTGCCTTCTTTCGCGGTCTCGTGTCTTTCTGCAGTAGCCGGCGGGGTTGCCGCTTGCACCGTCACCTGGTCACGTCGGATCGCCGCCTCGGGCCCAGTCCTTCCAGACCCTCGGGTCTTTCTCCCAGGCTCCAAGACGAGGCAGGTGAAGGGCCCAGCGGGGTGGCTGCACTTGGTGAGGGCCGCTCACGGCTCCTGCTTTGCCCGAAGGTGGCAGAGAGGTCCTGGGCCGCTCCCCCGGTAGCCCCTCTCCCACCCGTGGGAAAGGTGCCGAGCCCCCGCACCTTTCTGCGCTGCGCTGGGGCTGGTGCAGGGTGCCCGACCCGCACCCCCTGGGACGCCCAGTGCCCTGTCCCTGGCAGGGGGCCATGCTGGGCCGGCAGACGGACGCACGGGGGCGGGGGTCAGCGAGTCCCCCCGGCACTGCACAGGCGCAGCCGGCCCCCGGTGTGCTGCTGCTCTTTGCCCGCCCAAGCGCGGGACGGGCCTCTGTGCCCTTCTGCTGGCCGCGCCTTCAGGAGTGCTGGACGGAGCAGGGGCGCCTCTTCCCGGTGCTCGTGCGAAGGGGCCTGGTGCACGGATCCCTGTCTCCGTGCGGGGGGAGGAAGCTGTGCCGCTGCACGGCCCCCAGAAACGGGAAGGACCGTTTCCGCGTGCCCGGCAGGAGACCTTCCTTCCCTCTCACGCCGCCACCCGTACGGGCCTGGCCTTCCCCCAGCCGCCCCCCGCCTCCATTCTCCACGTGGACCAGCTATTTTCAAGGGAGCGCTACTGGGAAAAGAATCCTTCCCCTTGCCAGGAATGCGCTCCAAGGAGGAGGAATGCCTCGGCCGTTCCAAGAGCAACTTCCAGACGTGTGGCTGAGTGACATGACGGCAGCTCCTTGTGGGGGCGGGACTGACGGGGGGAGCGCCAGCCTCCGTTCTGAGCTCAACGGGTTGATGCGCGAACCTACATGGGAGGCAAGAGGGAGGGAGGGGAGGGGGTGGGAGCGGGCTGGCTACTGACACGGAGGAAAGTCTGCAGGCATGCGCTGCTCTGCGCTGCGCTGCGCTGGCGGGTGCTGAGCACCCCACGCGCGTGGTCCGGAGCGGAGGAGCGGGCGTCTTGCCCCAGCCCTACAGTGGCGGCGGCGGCGTCTCCAGCGAGCCCCATTGGCCCTCGGGCCTGCCGGGTGGTCTGAGCTTCACTTCACGGCGGCAGTCCTGCGCCAGGTGGGGACGTGAAGGATGCACCTTGAGCCGCATAGCTAGGCAGGTGTGTCCGCCCAGGCGCCCAGAGGAGCGGGTCCTTCTGCCCTGCCCTCCGTCATGCTGGCACCTGTCCGAGGGCTTCAGCTTCACCTGTGAAGCCACGGAGCCGGAAAGCTGCTTCTGCCAAGACTGGAACAAAAGGCAGGGGGCCAAACCAGGGATTCCAAGGACGCATCTTCCAGAGCCCAGGATCAGTTTTCCCCTCCTGTGTCCCCCGTAGCAGACCTGGCACCATGCTGTGGAGGCCAGGCGGCGGGGTGGGGGAGCAGGGGACAAGCGGAGTCAGGGCTTTGCCCCGGGGGCCTGCCCAGCTCCTCTGTGCCAAAGGCAACCGGCAGGCAGAAAGAGGGCCGGCTGGCACGGCCACCCGCTGCCCGTGAGCCTGGCGTGACGGGCCTGGGAGCAGCAGGGCTGGAACCTGAGGGAAGGGGGAACGCCGTGCCTGGGGGGACTGGGGTAGCTGTGTTTTGTCCCGAGTGGCAGAGGGATCCCCCCCCCCGGTGGGCTCCCTGGGCTGCTGGCACCCCCCCTCTCCCTCCCTCTTGTCAGGTGCTGGGCCCTGCCTGGTCCGGGGGCAGGGAATGCAGGCTGCCACCCTGTCCTGCGCACGGCCCGCCCGTCCATCCCCGGCGGGAAGCTCCTGGCAAGGGCCTGGGGGAGTGGAGCAGGCTGCTGGGGGGCTGGGCGGGGGCCTCTCCAGCAGCACCAGCCCAGGGGCCACTCGCTCTTCCCTTGTGTTCATGGAAACCAGGTGTCCCTGGGGGCTGGAGGTGGGGCGGCCTGGGTCCCCCTTCACACCTTGCTGCCCCACAGGCTGTGGATGAGGGAAGAAAGGACCTTGAGCTTAGCGAGGGCAGTCGGGGCTTCTCCTCGCAATGGCTGCAGGTCGAGGCGTGAGGAAGGGTGCTCCACCGGATGCTTTGGAACCTGCAGGCGGTTCTGAATGCCCGTCCTGTGCGCAGCCGCCGTGAGCAAGCGCCGGGTGGACTCGGGGGTGCACTGGCGGGCGTGTGCAGCGGGACCAGGCGCTCTGCAAGGCAGGCAGGGGTGCCTTCCGGCAGCCCCCGGGCAAGCAAGCAACCCCGCGCACACCGCCTTCTGGGACACGGGCATGCCTTTGCGGACCCTCCGGCGGCTCCTGGTGCAATCCTGTGCTGGGCCTCCGGGCCGGCGCCTCTCCGGCCAGTCGAGCCGGAGTGAGGAGGGGAGGGCAGCCGCCGAGGCCTCCCGGCTGTCCCCTGCCCAGCGGTGTGACACTCATCCCAGGGAAGGCTCAGTGGCGGCCGATAGAAAGCTGGCCCGGCCCCAGGCTGCGGTTGCCAGCGCTGTGCGTGCTGGAAAAGTGAGGCCTTCTGCCCGGACGGGCCCTGGAGCTGCCGCGCTGCCGACCGCCCCTGCCCTGCCCTGCCCTGCCCTGCCCTGCCCTAACGCGCTTAATTCCCCGCCCTGCCCTGAATGAGCCGCAGGCCGTGTCCGGGGGGCGCCCAGCCCGTGCCTCCCACCACGGAGCTGCGAGGGGCCGCAGCTGGACCGCCCGGGCCTGCCCAAAGGGCTTCCAGATGCTGGCCCGGAAGCAGCCTCCCCCCCAGGAGCCGAGGGGGCCGCCGTGCCGGGAGCAGGCGCGCTTCCTTGGAGAGCGGGCCGTCCGGGTCGGCCTGCACTGTGGGAGCGCTTCCCGCGCTCCCCGGGTGGGCACCCTGGCGCTGGAGGGCCGCTGGGCCCCGTGGCCCATAGTCTGCCCGCTGGGGAGGGAGGCAGCAGAGGGTGCAGGGAGGCTGGGCAGGCACTGTGTCCGGCCAGACCTCCAGCACGCAGGTGGGCCAGCCGTGCTGTTTTCGGTCACTCAGAATCGGAGAATGGAGCCGCCCGTGGGACTGCCGTCGGCCACGCCCGCGGTTCGAGGCCCTGGGACTCAGCCAGGGCGGGCCGAAGGAGGATTGGCCCGAGGGTGGATGGGGATGCAGGCGATACGGGCCGGGGGTGTTGAAAAGGGAGGTCTCTGTGGTGCAGGCCAACTCTCCCTCCAGCGGCGGGCCCCAGTGGCTTGCCTCTGGGGTCCCGTGTCCAGTTCTGGGCCCCACACTTCAAGGGGGAAGCAGGCGAGCTGGGAAGGGTCCAGAGGAGGGCAGCAAAGGTGATCGGGGAAGGGAGGCAAAGCCCCAAGAGGAGAGAGCAAGACCTGGCTGGTGAGGCCCGAGAAGAGCAGGCTGAGTGGAGATGGGACAGTGCTCTGCCTGCCTGCCTGCCTGCCTGAAAGGCTGTTGCGCAAGAGAGGGCCAGGATCGCTCCCTGAGCATCCCAGAGTGCAGGACGCGGAGTAACTGGCTCAAGTTACAGGAAGGCAGGTTCTGGCTAGACGTCAGGAAGAACTTCCTGACTGTGAGAGCAGCACAGCGATGGGACCGATCACCGGGGGGGGCTCTCCCCCACTGGAGGCAGTCAGGAGGCGACTGGGCAGCCGTCTGAGGAAGGGTTGAACTGGGAGCCCTGTGCTGGGCAGGGGGCTGGGCCTGGTGGCTCTGGCTCATTGCGCCCCTCTGCTCTGGGACTCCATGTGGCAGCAGAGGTCTATGTAGGAAGTTTGGGGAACCGAATTTGGGGTGGGGGTGAGCCTGCAGGAGCGCAGCAGGGCAGGGCCTCTCGGGGCACCCAGGCAGAGCAGCTCCCACCCCGAGGGGCATGTCTGCGGCTGCACCCGAGGTCATCTCCGTACCGGGCAAGGACTCCTGTTACGTTGAAGGAGTTCGGCCTTTGAGAACCCCAAGGGGGCTGCTGGGGTCGCTTGTGAGCGCGGTCGCGCTGGGGCCTCCTTTGCGCGCACTTGGTTTCCTGCCGTTTCGCTATATCGTGGTCGATAGTTGCAGACGCCTGAAGAACTTGGCGCTATCAAGCGCTGCGCTGCCACGCCGCTGGGGTATAAATTAATAAATAAGCACCTCCGCGGGAAGGCTGTGGGAGGAGAGTGGGGGGCATTGCCCCGCATATGCGCGGCGGGGGGGGGGGGCGGTCTCCGCAGAATCCGGTCCTCCTTGGCCCAAGGACCGGCACGCTGCCAGGCCACCTTTCGGGGCGCTGCACAGGTGAAGGCGGAAGGGCAGGTGCCAGAGGTGCTGGCCTGCCCAAGCACAGAGCGACTCCTGCCGCAGGTGGGGCACGCTCGCCTCGCAGGACATAGGACAATCCCCAAGAAGCCCCCAAGATCACGGCCAGGAGAGGAGGCAGCCAGGTGCGCTGGGCTCTGCCCCTGACCCGTCGCGGACGGCACTGGGGACGCTCTGCTCGCCCCGGTGGGAGCGGCTTGCGCTGATCCGCCTCCTTCGTCTCCCCCCCCCCCCCGCAGGACATCCGCAACACGGTGGGCAACATCCCCATGGAGTGGTACCAGGACTTCCCACACATCGGGTATGACTTGCACGGCAAGAAGATCTTCAAGCCCATCCGCACGAAGGACGAGCTGGACCGCTTCCTGGAGAAGATGGAGAGCCCCGACTACTGGTAAGAGGGCACCGTGCCCGTGGCAGATGGGCGGGGGGAGGTGGGACAGCGCCCCGTGGCCCCCTGTCCTTTGGGGAGGGGAGAGCGCTGAGCAGATGAGCAACGGAGATGACGGGGCACCAGAGGGGAACGGGGTGGCAGGAACGCCCGGGTGCCCCTCCCCAGATTCACGTCCGCAGAGGGAGCCTGAGCAGGCCAGGCAGGCAGGGAGCCCGTGCCAAGAGCCAAGCGCCCCGACCGGACCGACGCGCTGCAAGCAGAAGCTCGCCAGCACTTTCTGGTAACTGTCCCAGAGTTCATTAAATACTGGACCATGAAATTGCTGAGCTTACCCAAATGTTTACTATATCCCCAAGATCTGCCTCTGTACCAGAGGCTGGAAAATGATCGGTACGATCCCAGGGATCTGAGGGAGGGGATCCGGAGGCTACAGGCTGGGCAGCGTGACTTCTGTTTTGGGTCAGCAAGTTGAAAGCATGAGTGAAAACCAGGGCGAAAGGCCAGGAGGGCGCGAGGGAGGGCCCGCTCCGCCGACTCCGCACGGCTCCTGCGCAGGGCAGCCCTGCGTGATGGCCTGAGCGCCCGGACCAGCGCGATCCGGGGGACCTTCGGAGGTCGGGCTGCCAAAACGCGTCGGCTTGGAAACACGGCAAGTGGGGAGGTGTTCAGAATTATGTCAGCACAGCGTTCTCCCTTGCCGTCACGCGAGAGCCCAGCGGTCGCCCCATGGGCCGGTTGGTGGGAAGGACTCCTTCATGGAAGGCGTGGCCGCGGGGAACGGTGCCAGCCCTCGATCGGGGCGGCTTTAAGAGGGGCTGCACAGGTCCATGGGAGGCAGCGCTCGGGCTCGTGGCCTCAGCAGCTCCGTGCTGCGTCTGCTCCGCCTCCTGCCCGAAAGGGCGCTCAGCACTCCTGCCGCTCGGAGGATCCTGTGGGCATCGGGCCAGGCTGAGGCGGCGTGCCTGCGCTCGCGCGCTCGGGGGCTTGGGCAGGCAGCGGTGTGGGCTCTGCTCCTTCCCACTGAGCCTGCGAACAGCCGGTTTGCCTCCGTGCGTCTTGGACTGGGTGGGCCATCGGCCCGATCCAGCAGGGCTTCTCCTGGGGGCTTGGGAGCATCCGCGATCCTGCGTGTCTGTGGCTTTCCGCTGTCTTACAGTCCAGTGGAAGTGCTCAGTCGAAGGCCAGGCTGGGCAGCCTCTCCTGGGAGAGGGTGCGGACGGCAGGGGGTGCGGGAGGGGTGGGTGGCGCTGAAAGGGAGGCCCTGGAGGCGCACGCCTTGGTGATACCATGACTAGCCAAGCCGGGAGTGTAGGTGGCCCCGCCGTGGATGAGGAGAGAGGTGGGAGGAGGGACGAGAAGGAAAGCCCCCCCCCCCCTCTCTCTCTCTCTCTCTCTCTCACTCACTCACTCACACTCTGCGGTGACGTCCTTTCTGCCCCGCTTCCTGCCCACACCAGGCGGACCGTGCAGGACAAAATGACGGGCGCAGACGTGAAGCTGACCGACGAACAGGTGGAGCTGGTGACCCGTCTCCAGAGGGGCCACTTCGGGGAGGTGAAGTTCAACCCTTACGAGGTGAGGCCTGCTCTTCTGCCCCCCCCCCGTGCCGCCTCCTGGCATTCCCCCCGGGTGAGTGGGGTGGGGCACGGTGGCAGCCGCCTGAGACCGCCTCTCTCGCAGCCGGCCGTGGACTTCTTCAGCAGCCAGGTGATGCTGCACCCGGTGACCAACCGCCCAGCGGACAAGCGGAGCTTCATCCCCTCCCTCATCGAGAAGGAGAAGGTGAGCGCAGGGCGGGCCGGGGCCCTGGAGCACTGGGCCGGAGAGCAGCGGCTGGAGCCGGCTCGGGTCACACGCCCGGCTCTCCTTCCATCTCCGACCCCCAGAAGCCCCCCTCCCCCAGACCCATCTCGGGGCGCGCCCGGATCCCCCGCTCAGCCTGCCGAGGACAAAGCCCCACAGGCCCGTCCTGAGCATTGTGTAACGCTCCCCCCACAAGAGCCAATTCACTGCTTGGGCGCCCCCGGAGCCCACGGGAGGGGGGCTTGCTGGCCTCTTCCTCGCCGGCTGGAAGCAGCGGCATGGGGAGCACGGGGCCCCCGCAGCCCCTGTCCCGGGGAGCGAGGAGCACTGCCCAGCAGCCGGGCAGGACGAGCCCAGGGGGCAGCATGGAAGCGCAGCGCGCCCTCCAGTGGGTGGTGATGGGCCCGCCCCCCTGCAGGTCTCCAGGCTGGTCCACGCCATCAAGATGGGCTGGATCAAGCCCCGGAAGCCCGCGGAGGACACGCCCGCCTTCTATGACCTGTGGGCCCAGGAGGACCCCAACTCCATCCTGGGCCGGCACAAGATGCACGTGCCGGCCCCGAAGCTGCCCCTGCCTGGCCACGAGGAGTCCTACAACCCCCCGCCAGAGTACCTGCCCACAGAGGAGGAGGTGAGTGGGCCCGGGTGGGGGCTCTGGGCGGCGGCAGCGCTCCAGGGCCGGAGGCAGCGCTGCCCCGGGGCGGCTGGCCCGTCCGGCCCGTGAGGCCCCGGGCACCCGGCCGCCCCCCACACCTGCCGCTCTGCCCCGCAGAAGCTGGCCTGGGAGGAGCAGGAGGCCTCCGAGCGCAAGCGGAACTTCCTGCCCCAGCGCTTCCGCTGCCTGCGCCAGGTGCCAGCCCACCCCCGGTTCATCCATGAGCGCTTCGAGCGCTGCCTCGACCTCTACCTGTGCCCGCGCCAGAGGAAGATGCGGGTGAGTGGGCGCGGCAGGGAGGCCCTCGCTGCCCGGGTGGGAACAAGCCAGGCGGGGCCTTGGCCCGGAGCCCTTCCAGGGCGGGGGCGGGGGGGGCCTTCTGTGGCTCTCGGCTGCTGGGGGGGGCGTGCAGCGTGCCTTCCGTTCCCCCACGCGCAGCACTGGGGGCCTGCAGGGGGAGGGGGGAGGCCAGTGGTCGCCAGAGGCAGCCCCCTCATCTCCAGTGACCCCCGGGGCGGGGGTCTCCTGCACGGCACGGGCTGTTCTTTTCGTCAAGGCGAACACGCCCGGGCGGAGAGGGCCGGGCCCCTGCGGCCCCCTGCAGAAGGCGGTGCTAGGGCTTCCGGGGCAGTGTCCACACAACCTCCCTCTCTTCCAGGTCAACGTGGACCCCGAGGACCTGATTCCCCGGCTGCCCAAGCCGCGAGACCTGCAGCCCTTCCCCACGGCGCAGGCCCTGGTGAGGCGTCCGGGGAGCCGTTCCAAGGCGTGCCGGCTGGGCGGGGGAGGCAGGCCCCCAGACCCTTCCGGGGAACCCCCGGGGGGCGCCTCCGCCCTGGCTTGGGGGGAGCGGCGGCAGGTGGGTGCGTGATGTGCCGCAGCAGGGGTGTCACCCACTGCCGTGTCCCCCCTCGACCAGGTCTACCGGGGCCACACCAGCCTCGTGCGCTGCCTCAGCATCTCCCCACATGGCCAGTGGCTGGCGTCAGGTGAGCGGAGGGTAGCGGGCTCAGCCGCCCACACGGGGCGGGGCGGGGGGGCCCATGCGGGGGTGGCGCTGGCCTCATGCCCCCTCCCGCCTCCCTGCAGGCTCTGACGACGGCACGGTGAAGTTCTGGGAGGTGTGCTCGGCGCGCTGCGTGAAGACCGTCCCCGTGCGCGGGGCCGTCAAGAGCCTCGCCTGGAACCCCAGTCCCCTCCTCTGCCTGGTGGCCATCGCCGTGTGAGTCAGCCGGGGTCCTGCTGCCGGAGGGCATCGTCCCACGGAGCGTGGCTCTGGCACAGCGCCTCAGGGCGGTGTGGGCTGTGGGGGTGACGGCATGGATCCGGAAAGGGAGCTTGGGGGCATGGAGGTTGGAAACCGGGGAAGTCGCCCATGGCCCCGGAGCCCCATGGAAGCCAGCTGCCACGGGGTGGGTGGGGGGCTTTGTGCACGCTGTGCCTTGGCCCGAAGACTAGCGGCCCCTCCGGGCTTGGGGAGGGGCGCTCCCCCCCGGCAGACCCTGCCCGGGTCCCCGGCCGGCCCACCCACTGCTCCACCACAGCTTCGCCTCGGGTGCCGGACTCGGTCGCAGCTACGGAGAGCACAGTGGGCGAGCAGAATGCGGGACCGAAGGGGCCCCAGGCCGTTCCCTAGCCGGGCTGCCGGAGCGTGCCCTCGGCCGGGTGCCCACCTGCCCCAGCGCCCGGGCTCCACACGCGCTGCCCGGCTGAGACACGCTCCCGTTCCTCCCCGCCGCCACCGCAGGGAGCAGTCGGTACTCCTGCTGAACCCCGGCCTGGGGGACACGCTGCTGCGCGAAGCCACCGACCGGCTGCTCGGCAGCTACGTGGCCCCCGAGGAGGCGCGTCCGCAGCCCGTCGCGTGGGAGGAGGCCTCCGGAGAGGACTGGCGCCAGGGCGTGCGGCTCGTCGTCAAGCACGGGAAGGTGCTGCCTCGGGCGGGCGGGCGGGCGGGCGCTTGTGGGCCGCATCCCTTCCGGCGGGAGCGGGGCCTCAGACCTCGGCCCCGTTCCCCGCGAGGCCCAGGCCGGGTGCTGGCGACAGGCGCCCGGCGGGCCCGGGCCCGGCTCCGGCTCACGCCCGCCCTGCGCTTCCCCCGCAGCCGCTGACGCAGGTGGCGTGGCACGGCAAGGGCGACTACTTTGCCAGCGTGGCGGCCGACAACAGCCACCTGCAGGTGCTGCTGCACCAGGCCAGCAAGCGCTGGAGCCAGGCGCCCTTCCGCCGCAGCAGGGGCCCCGTGCAGCGCGTGCTCTTCCACCCGGCGCGGCCCTTCCTCTTCGTGGCCACCCAGCGCTGCGTCCGTGTCTACAACCTCCTGCGGCAGGAGCTGGCCAAGAAGCTGCTGCCCAACTGCCAGTGGGTGTCCAGCATGGCTCTGCACCCGGGAGGTGAGTGGGGGGCCCGGCGGGCCGGTGGAGGGCGTGGGGCGCGCGGGGGGCTGACCGAGGGCGCTGCCGCTTCCCCCCAGGCGACAACCTGATCTGCGGCAGCTACGACAGCAAGCTCGCCTGGTTCGACCTGGACCTGTCCACCAAGCCCTACCGCGTGCTGAGGTGCGTGCTGCGGGGGGGGGCGGGCCCCGTTCTTCCCGTGCCGCAGGACCCGGGGGGAGGGCGGAGACCCGAGCCGTGTCCCAGCCCTGCTCTCCCCACCCCCGTCGCCCCCCCATTCCCCCTGGAGATGCCCCCAGCCCCACATCCCCGTGGTCGGGGGAGAGGGATGCGGGGGCGGGGGTGGCAGGGCCCTCTCTCCCCGCTGCTCCCAGGGCCTGGCTGCCCCCGTGGTTGGGGATTCGGGGGAGGCCCGCGCACGGCAGGCACCGGCTGTGGGGCGGGGGGGCTGGCGGCCGGAGGGAGGCCCCCAGGGCAGGAGGGCTGATGCTCCCGGCCGCCCCTTCCCGGCAGGCACCACAAGGCGGCGCTGAGGGCGGTGGCCTTCCACCCGCACTACCCGCTCTTCGCCTCGGGCTCGGACGACGGCAGTGTCATCGTGTGCCACGGCATGGTCTACAAGTAGGTGTGGGGTGGGCGGGGGCGCCCGGGGAGCCACGTGGGCCAGGCCCCGACGCACCGGCCCCCGGCGGGCGGCTCAGCTGGCGCTCTGCTGTGCTCTGCTCTCCCCCCCGTGCAGTGACCTGCTCCAGAACCCGCTCATCGTGCCCGTGAAGGTGCTGAAGGGCCACGCGCCAGCCCATGAGCTGGGCGTCCTGGACGTCCTCTTCCACCCCAGCCAGCCCTGGCTCTTCTCCGCGGGGGCCGACGGCACCATCCGCCTCTACACGTAGCCGGCCACCCCTCCCCTCCCCTCCCGCGGGGCTCTCTGCGTCTCTGGCTGCAGCCCGACGGGCCCGGCGGCCCCAGGCCGAGGGACAGCGCACTCGTTCAACTCCCCGGGTGCAGAATCCTTCCTCGCCTGGGCACGGGCGGGAACGGGAGGAAGGGGCAGGCCCCCCAGGCGCCTTGGGGAGGCGGCCCACCAGCTTCACCTTCTGCCTGCACCCCAGGAGGGGGAGCCGGTCCCCGAGAAGTGTTTCGGCGCCTCGTCTCTTCCGCCACGTGCCCGGGGGCTTGAGGGTCTGCCCCTCCCAGCTGTACTGCGTGGTCTCTCTCTCTCTCTCTCTGTCACTGCGTGGTTTAAACTTGCGTTTTTTCAACACAGCGTTGTATTGTATTCTGTTTCGATCTCTGTGTGATGCACCGTTGTGAACAGCCCACAGGGCTTCAGCTGCAGGATAAGCAGAACACACACGGCCCCTTCTGGGTGGCACACAAGGAACCGCACATGGGCAAACGAGCCGGGCTTGGGGCATGGCGCTCCCCGCTGCCCGTGCCTCCATCTTTCCCCTGGAATACGTGCCCAAGCCGGCCTCAGCGTCGTTTCTGGTTCGCTAGGCAGAGCTCGCCACTGCCTTCCTCTGCCGGATGCTGGTGCGCCCCCAGAGTGGGGGCACCAGCCGATCGTGCGGCAGGGCAAGGGGGCACAGCCTCCAGTCTGGGGCCCACAGGCCGGTGGGGCTGCTGGCAGTCAGATACGGGCAGGCAAGTGCCAGTCTGCTGCACTGGCTGAGCGTGCTGCAGGAGTCGGGACGCTAGTCCTCAGGACCGCTGGGTGGCTTGGGGCCAGCGGCAGCCTTGCCGCTGGGCCTGCCTCGCAGGGTCCCTGCTCTGACGGCAGAGTGGAGTCTCTCCCTGCAGCAAGAGGGCAGGAGAGGCGCTGTGCGCATCAGTGAGGGTAAAGGCAGGTGTTTCTGAGGGGAGGGTGGACGCCATCCTCCCCGGGGCCACTCTTTTCCTCCAAGCGGAGGAAGCAAACTGCCCCGGCATGACGCAGGCGGGGGGGCGAGCCAGCCCCGGGCCCCCTCCCTGGGCAAGCCTGCGCAGAGCCGCCTGCGGCTGGATGGCCAGGCAGGGCTGAGGCCCAGGGAAAAGGTCTGGGGGCAAAGCCAGCTGTGGAGCTGGGCCAGGGGGCAGCGGCTGCCCGGAGTGCCCAGCAGGGCAGGAAGCTGCGCGGTGTGGCCGCCGCCATGGGGCCGCATGCTGCTCCTCGGGGAAGGCCTTGCCTCCGCTCCCGAGATAACAGGGCTGGCCTTTGCCCCCCCCACCTGGGCAGCAGCAGTGCCCCTCGGCCACAGAGCCACGCTTCCGGCGCGCCACTGACCGGCCGGCCGCTCACTTGCAGGGCCGAAGGGCGCCCCAGCTTCCCTCAGCCCGTCTCCCCACCCTGCACCCTGGAAGCGGCTTGCTGCCCCCTGCCTTCCCAGAAGAGCCGGGCGCACCAGGCCAGAGTCCCAGCAGCGGTGGAGGACGCCCGCCTCGTCCCCGGCCCAGCGAGCGGAACAAGCCTGGGGAGGACCCGGGCTGCCTCGATGGCGGAGTGCCCCGGCCAATGCCGGCCAGGCTCGGGGGACACCCTCCCTGCAGGCTCGGGCCTGACGACTGGCCCCTCGGGCTGCTGTGGGGACGGAGGCCTGAGTGGGAAGCGGGCCTGGGGGCCTTGACCTGGCGGGGGCCCGGCAGGCCTGGGGGACGCCAGCATGCCAGCCAGGCAGCCTGCCAGTGGGGGGGGGTTGAGCCAGGCAGGCACGTGAAGAGGCGCCGTGGGTGGTGCCACGAGGCCGAGCAGCAGGGGAGAGACCGAGGCACGTGCGTGGCGGACGAGCAGGATGAGGCAAGAAGCCACTGGGGCCCAAAATGATCCACTCCCCTGCGACCCACAGCTGGCTCGGGGGGAGACGGCGGCCCCCACGCCGCCGCCCTGATCCAGGATGTGTGCCCACTGCGGCAAAGGAGTCCAGAGGTGCTGACAGCACGTGTCTCTGAGAAGTGGATCCTTTATTAAAAATAAGGTGTCTGCGGGTATGTACATGGTCCCACCTGGGAGCAGCACAGACGCCCCTGCGGAAGCCCCGGGAGGGGCTGCCCCCACAAACCAGGCAGGAAGGAGTGAGCATGCGAGCGCCGCCCAGGGGCACACTTGAGCAGGCCACGGCACGTGGGAACGGGTCCCGCCGGCCCGGCCCCTCCCAACGCCTGCTTGCGGAGTCTGTGCTGGATGGGCCGGTGGAGGCCGAGGGGGACGCCCGGGCGGAGAGGCGAGCAGGTGGGCACGGAGCTTGTCGCCAGGCCGCACATGGGCCAGCCGGGCCACACAGCCGCTCTTCGAGTTCCCGCCGGGATGGGCGCCTGGGCTGGAAGTCGTCGAGTCCGGAGGCGCGGGCGGGCAGGTCTGCGGTGGGAGCGGCGGCCCCTCCCCACGGCTCCGGGCAGAGTTCGAGCGGCCCTCAGGCTATCCGGACCAGGCGGCCCAGCGCCTCGGCCACCTTCGCCCGCACCACGGCCACGGGGTCCTTCAGCAGCACGCTCAGGGCTGTGTGGAGGAACGGCAGAGGGGGAGGGGGGTCAGCTGGGGCCCCGGCCATCCGCCGTCCGGCCACCGTCCCCAACCCCGAAAGGGACGGGGACGCCCATGCCAGGCCCGCCACGCTGCCCGCCGAGGGAGCCGTGCCCGCGGACCGAGGGCCCTGGGCCCTCTGGGAGCGGGCAGGGGGGCCAGGCCGCTGCCGCTGCAAAGCCTGGCACGGGCCCAGCTGCAGAGCGGAGGGCGCCTGAGGCTGCTCCCGAGCAGCGGAGATACAATAATATTTTTCCAGTAGCATGTTTACACTGCAAATCCGAGTCTCCCGCGTCCCTCCAGAGCGAGCGAGACGGCCTGATTTATGTGCCCGGCCGCCTCGCGCCGCTCGGGCCGGCCAGCTGCAGCAGCTCCCCCGGGGCCGCTGGCAGGCAGAGCGTCTCGCGCTCAATACGGGAAGCTGCGGTGACCCCATCCGGAGCCTGGGCCGCCCCTCCGCCCGCCACAGCATCCCCCGCTACTGCACAGACGGGCCTCTCTTCAGGACCTCTCCCCCAGCCAACGGAAAGATAGTTTTCCCTTTTTTAGTGGTTTTTAAGCTCCGCTGGAAAGCGCAGAGATTTTCCAAGTCTTACTCTAAGCGATGAGGTCACTGCTGACAAGGAAAAACAGCAGCGAAATCCAGGAAAGTGGGTTACTTAAGCGGCTTCCTCCGCTGCACTTGGAGCGGCCGCCCGGACCCGGGAGGGACCCATGGGGGGCGGCACGCCGGAGCGCCCTGCTCCCACACACTGGTCCCTGGCCAGGCACCTGAGCCTGCAGCCCCCGGGAAGGGGGGTGGTCCGCCTGGCCACACCCCGGCCTGCCCACCCCACCACACCACCTGGCCGAAGGAGGGAGGCCCCACGGGGCAGCGGAGGGGGAGGGGGAGCACGCCTGGTCCCCCGCAGAGCCCCCCCCCCCCCCCCCCCCACAGCCTTCCCAAGGGATACCAGTGGGCTGCCCCCAGCCGGCCGCCCCTTGGCAAGGGCTCCCCTACGCTGGGGGGGCAGAGGCATGCCCCGTGCCCGCGAGGCCCCCTGGCTGCTCCCGCTCACCGGCAATGAGCTGCTCCAGGTCCAGCTGCTGGCTGTGGGCCTTGTCCACGTGCAGGACCAGGAAGCCTGGCGGCAAAGGGAGAGCAAGGCGCTCAGCACCACCGCCGCCCGGCAGGGGCCCGCGGCCGGCCCCCCGGGGCACCTAGTGGGGCGGGCAGGGAGGCGTTCCCGGGGCCCTCTCCCCCCTCACCTACAAACATGGGGGCCGCGGCCCGCAGGTCGGCCCAGTTGCTCTTGAAGTAGAAGAGGTTGGTGGCAACCAGCCGGCTCAGCGTCTCTGGGTAACTCTGCATCTGCACGAGAGAGAGGGAGGCCCCGGGGTGACGGGTGGCACCTCCAGAGGCACCTGCGGGGGCACCGCTTCCAGTTCTGGCCGGTCACAGCCCTGCGCTCCCCCCACGGAAGGGATCTGCGGACTTTTGGGTGCAGGTCCAAGTTGGTAAACTCCGCACATCCAGATGCATTTTTAAAAGGGGGCTCAACATGCGATCCTCGCTCCGCCTCAGCCAGTTGTGATGCTAAAGGCCACAAGGGGCCCGGATACGTGAAGGATGCGCCCCGGCCAGAGGCACTGCCCAGTTCAGGGGGCTGAGGCCCCCCGCGCACCGCTTGGGCAGCCCCTTCCCCAGCGCCCTGCGGGGGCTGCACAGCTCCCCCCCACCTTCCCTGTTCCAGCAAAGCCACGCCTGGCACATGGGGGCCACCGTGGCTCGCGTGGCCCGCGCACGAAGGCCGGCTCCGCTCGGCAGGGCCCTGGGCACGCGGCCGCGGGGCTCACCAGGTGCTTGGAGACGTCGTTCATGAACTCGCCGTAGTGGAGGCACCGGTCCTCGTGCAGGTGGTTCTGGAACATGTCGCAGAGGAGGGCGCAGCCCATGCGGGGGCCGCACATGCGCAGGGCGAACTTGCAGGCCTGCGAGGACGACAGGGCGAGCGCTGAGCCCCGGCTCCCACCCCCAGCCGCGCGCCGGCGGGGCGGCACCCACCTTGACGACCTCGGGCTTCGGGTCCTGCAGGTGGAGCAGCAGTGTCACGAGCCCATTCAGGATCTGCTCGAAGAAGGCCTCCTCGCCTGCCCCGGAGGTGAACTTGCTCAGGCTGCCGAAGAGGGCGATGGAGGCCGTGCGCAGCTCGCACCTCTCCTGCACGGGGAGCGAGCGGCGCCTCAGGCTGGGGTGGCAGCGAGCCGGCCCCGTCCCTGCCGCCTCCGCCAGAGCCCACGGAGAGCCGAGGCGGCCCTGCCCCGAGGGAAAGGGCCCCGGCTCGAGCAGGGCCCCTCCCCTCCACGGGGCCCACACGCCTGCCAGCCCCCCAGCAGAGCTGCTGCTCCCCGTGCCAGCCCGAGGCGTGGGGGACGGGTGTCGACGGCCCCCCAACGGCCCCCCCGTGGCTGGGCTCCCACCCTGCGGGGCGCGTCCTTACGCTGTCGAAGAAGGGCCGGATGCGGATGGCCAAGTGCAGCAGCATGGGCTGGACGTCGCGCTCCTCCAGGAAGGGCAGGAGCGCGGAGAGGCCCCGCATGGCCTCCAGGGCCACCAGCTGCTGCGGGTCGTCCCGGTCGTCCAGGCCACTGACCATGGCGGCCAGGAGGTGGGCCCCGTGCTTCCGCACCTGCGGGGAGGGAGCAGGAAGCCGGCTGGCACGTGCCCGGGGAGGCCCGCGGCCGCCCGGGGAAGTGGCCCAGGGCTGGCCCGGGGCGGGAAGGGGCACATCACCCGCACTGGCCGCTTCGAGGTGCCTCGCTGGCCCCAAGGGGCTGAGAGGGGAAGGGCCTTCCTGGCTGTGGCACCTAGTTATGGACCCGGCCTGTAGCCTCCTCAGTTTCTCGCCGTTTTAATTGCTAGGTACATTATCTGGTTTTATATTGGCTTTTAAGATTGTTATCGGAACATGAGAAATAGGAGTCTGACTGATTGCTACTGTGTATTGTTCCTGTTCATTGTTGATTACTGTACATCCCTGATTAACTTTATTGCTGTAAGGTGGTTTTATGAGGCAGGCATATTTTAAAATAGCTTATAAAGAGAACATTATATTGTAAATTGTATTGCTCAAACATGATCCTGAACGCCGTTCCGATACAGCAGCACCTGCTTGAATGGCATCGAACCACCTAAGCAAGCGAGCAAGTCAGCAGCTCGTGGCTTCAAGCGGCTGGCAGTGCCCGAGCGAGGGAGGAGGGCCCGGGGGGTCCCCACGGAGATGCCGGCTCGCTCGGCGCGAGCCGCGGAGGGAAAAGGCCCGGCACCCAGGCAGCAGAACCCGGAAGCGAAAACACGGCAGCCACGATCACACCTGCGTCGCACGGCCGCAGTTTCTCAGTTGCCACTCCTGAAAATGGGCAGAGAAGGGCAGCGGAGAGGGTGGCGGGGCTGCGGCCGCTGCCCTCCGGGGCTCGGCTAGGACAAGGGGGGCTGCTTCGCCTACGGGCGGCACGGGAGGGGCGGGGTAACGCAGCCGTTCCAAACTCTGGAGGGGAGAGAGAGGGAGACTTCGGCCTCCTCCCACCACGCTAGAGGCCAAAGGGGTCTCCCAAAGCGGGTGGGCGGCAGACTCGGGATGCCAGGGAAAGAGGCCGCAGGCGCCCAGGAGGGTGGCCAGAACAGAACGGGGAGAGATGGCGGGACCCCTACCCTTGCAGACTGGGGGGAGTGAGGGCTCCTGCCAAAGCCAGCAGAGCTAGGAAAGGCTTCCTGTCGGTGCGACGCAGAGGCCGCCGCCGAGGAAAAAGGGCCGTGAAGCACTTCGCGCACAGCCCAACGCACAGTGGAAGGGCGGGATTTGCCGCGTGGGACGTGGGGATGGCTGCCGAGTCGGATGGCTTTGAGGCAGTTGGTTTGTTTATTACTGAACTTGGACACTGCTCTAACGGCCCCACAGGACTCTCTGAGCGGTTCACAACACGGTTCGGAGGAATTAGAGGCGCAGGCGGCTCCACGGGCCACCGGCCCCCCTGGCTCCGCGCTCGGTCGCTCAGAAGCGCCTCCCACTGCCCCAGGGATCCTGCGGGCACCGGGCTGGTCCAGCAGGGCTGCGCTCGCGAGCCCCCCCAGGAGCCCCTGCCAGGCGAGCCCCTGCGGGCCAGAGCAGGCGGCCCAACGCGGCTCGGGCCAGGAGGCCCCTGCATGGCGCTGCCACGCGGAGGAGGGCCGTGGCGCAAAGCGCGAGGACCCAGGCTTCAGGACGCATGTCCGGAAGTACCTCCCCTCCCGAGGGTTAGGACCCCCAGGGCATGAGATGGGCCCCCGGGGCGGTGGCCACGGCCCCAGCAGTGAGGGCGTCCAAGGAAAGACTGGATGTGCCCATGCGCGGGAGACCTGAGCAGAGCCGGCTGGAAACGGGGTCAGCCCAGGGGGCCCGAGAGGCCCCTTCTGACTCACTCTGCTCCGGTGTGTTCTGCGCCTGCCGCTGGTGGGGTGGCCCCACTCCGTGCGGGGGGAGCCCTGCAGCTCTGCTCCGGGCACGAGCCCGCAGGCTAAGGACCACGGAGCTGAGAGATGATGCGGGGCGGGGGCCCGACCCACAGCCCTGGCAGCTACCGGCCCACTGGGCACACGCCTCCGCGCTCACCTTGTCGGGCGAGCCAGAAGCCATGTTGCCCAGCCCGCGGAGCGCGAGCACGCGCACGGCGGTGCAGGGGTCCCTCTGCCGGGCGGCCATGCTGTCCATCAGGGACTCCAGCAGCACCAGGTCGCTCGCCACACTGCTGCCAAGGAGCTGCAAGACACCGGCGGGCGCTGACCGGGCCGCAGGGGTGGGCCCAGGCCCTCCCCGGCACGCAGCCCGCGGCAGCCCCACTCGCCAGGCCCCCGGGATGAAGTGGCCCGGCACCTTGCGCAGAGCCGGCGACCCAGGAGGCCCGGCAAGGGGCAGCCCCACACGCGGGGGAGGAAGCCAGGCGGCGATGCCCTGCGGACACGGCCGCCAGGGCCCGAGAGCAGCAGGAGCCGCCCAGAAGCCCCAGGCCCCGGGGAGGCCGAACCCAGGCTCCAGCCGGAAGTCCCAGCCCGGCCGGGGGGGCAGGCTCGGCCCCGGCCCCCCTGCCCGGCCCGCGCCTGGCCACGGCACTTGCACCTCATCACCACCTGGGCGGGAGAGGCAGGCGAGCCCCGCGCCGGGGAGCTGCTAGCCAGAGCAGGCCGGGGAGCCGGCCTCGCGGCGCGTCCCGTCCCTGCGCCCTGGCCCGCGCCCAGCCGCGGCTTCCCCGGCCAAGCGCAGCCTCGAGCCGGCTGCTCCACCGCCGAGACGCTAAGAGGCGGTTTACGAGGGGGCTGGCGCGGGGGCTGCCCCGCGGAACAAAGGCTGCTTGACGGCCCCGGCGCGAGGGGAAGTCAGCTGGGACGGGCTGCCGGGCGGCAGGGCCGGCGTCCGCGGAGGAAGCGGCCTGACTCACGCCATTCCTCGGGGCGGTACGTCAGGGAGCAGGGACGGGCGGCTGGCTCATGCCGCCGACGGCCAGGCCAGGCTCCCCCGCGGGGAGAAGGTCCTCCGCCGGCGGCAGCGTTGCCTGGGTGGCGCTCCCGGCCCTTTCCCGGCTGTTCCCGGGGCGCGAGGGGCCCGCAGCAGCCCAGGGCGCACCGGTGAGAGGAGGGGGAGTCTCCCCGGGGCCCCCACCCCACCCCACCCCACCATCTAGCTCGAGGGGCTGCTCCCCGTCGGCATGGCACCGACACGGGGACCAGGACCACCCTCCAGGGACGGGCCCCCCCACCGCCGACGGAAGGCCCGCTCACCTCGGCCAGGAAGGCGGTGGTGGTGAGCCGCTGGCTGTCGTAGATGCTGCTCAGCATCGGGGCCAGGTTCCTCACGACCGGCGGCAGCTTGGGCCCCGCGTGCCTCGCCAAGGCCCTGGCGAACGACGTGGCCCCGGCTCAGCGACCGGCTCCGGCACGGGCCGAGGGCAGCTGCCCCTTCGCGGCAGCCTGCAGGCCCGCCACCTCAGCCCCGTCCAGGCAAGGGACTCGGCCGCACCCCGGGATGGAGCCGCTTCCCGAGCCCACCTCGGCAAGCACCGAAGCCGGACATCGCAGCCCGGACAGCGGCAGCGCCCCGGGGCCGGACCAGCCCTCCAGCCCCACCAGCAGGCCCGGCCCGTGGCCCCGGCCCCCCAGCAGACGGCCCCAGCCGAGTGGCCATCCTACGCCAGGCAGGCACGGGCTCTCGCACCGCAGTAGGGCCCCACCGGCCGAGGCCCAGCCCCAGGGACCGAAGGGCCCCCTCCAGGCACCCGGAGCTGTTCGGGGCTCCCTCTCGGCTTGGAACCAAGCAGACTTGGGGGCCCGGAGCTCCAGTCCCACAAGAGGCAGAAAGGCTCACCAGCCCCTGCCCACAAGAGGTGAGAGGAGCTGCCCAGGAGGGGAAGGCTGCGGGTCCCAGCCGAGGCTGCGTCTGCCACGAGCCCCACGAGCCGAGAGCGGGACCTCCCCGCAGGCCGGCAACCCAGAGGCCATCGGTGGGGCAGGGCAGCCCAGCAGCGCCCACTCACCTGGCCAGGAGGGCGACCCCTTCGTGGTGCTTCTCGGTGCTCCGCAGGAGCTCCCAGCCGTCTGCCTGGGCCACCGACTGGACCACCTCCTCGCTGCCCCCCCGAGCCAGCATGGCCTGAAGCGTCTCCACCGCGGAGCTAGGAAGGAGGAGAGGAGAGGAGAGGAGAGGAGAGGAGAGGAGAGGAGAGGAGAGGAGAGGAGGAGACGGCCGGTGGGCTCTGCCGGGGCAGGGCCCGGCTACAGGCCCGAGGCGAGGCTGCTCCGCCACCCACTCCCACGGCAGCCGCAGCCCTGGGCAGTGCATGTCATGCGAGGGGCTCCGCTGGGCAGGGGGACAGCCGCACTGTGCCCACCCACAGGCCGGCAGCCCCTCGCGGAGGCAGCCGAGGCCACCAGCTGAATGGGGAGGCTGGAGAGCCAGCTGCTCCCACGCCGACCGTCTCCGCGGGGAGGGCTGCGCGGGAAGCGCCCCACCGAACCGCACCCGGGACGGCCCTCATTCCCGCCGGGCCGCATCCAAGAGGCGAAGGAAGGGCTGGGTCCGAGGGCCACACGCCGTGAGGGCGGAAGTCACGAGAGGCCCCTTGGCCAGCTCCCAGGGCCAACTAGGTGCTGGGTGCAAGTCACAACACTGCCGGGCTGGGGGGGGGGGGCACAGCCCCCCAGCTGCTCTCATGCCGGGCTCTGGCGGGCCCAGATGACCGCTTGGAGGAGGACAGATGTGGGCGAGCAACCTGCCCTCCTGGCCCCGCCAGCCCGCGTGCCTCCAGTCGGCAGCGCAGCCTCGCTCCTCGGCTGCCCAGCTCCCAGGGCCGACGAGGAGCCCGGATCTCGCTCTGCGCAGAGCCCACACGGGCACCCGGTGCTCTGGGAGCGGAGCCACCCCGAGGACTCCCTCCCCAGCACACCCCGCGGACACCTCTCCCTGGGGTGCAAACGGCTGAGCAGATCCATCCCCTCGCGAGCGCAGAGGTGCCCTCAGCGCAGCACGTATGGCCAGCCCGGCCGGACCGCAGCTTGGCGAGGCCGGGCCTGGCGCGCCCTCCCTCCCCCCGGCCGGAGAGGCGCCGAGCTCGGCTCCAGGGCGCCTGCAGGCCCTCCCCTGGGGGACCTTGCAGCCAGCTCAGGGGGCTGGTCCCCTCCACACCCAGGGCCGCCTGGCCACCACTGCCCCAGGGGAAAGGCTCCCCCACGGGGGAGAGCACGCTCCCACACGCCCCCCCTTGGGGCACGCCAGCTTTCCACGGGCAGGGATCTCCTGCAGACATCAGGAGTGCCACTCCGCTCTTCGGGCTGCACCCGCGAGCCGCCCTGGGCGCGCTCTGCAGCGACCCTCCCAGGAAAAGTGCGTGGACGGGCGTGTGGCCGTTCTCAGGAGCAGACGCCGGGGAGACCCCTGGCAGCAGGCCAAGGTGCCTCGCTGGACCTCTGGCCCGTGCCTGGGCTGCCCAGCCGCCCTCCCAGTCCCAAAAGGCCGTGGGGGGGGGCAGCCACCGGGACCCCCCAACCGGCGTCAGCAGCAGCTCCGCAGTAAGAGGCGTCAGCCAGGGAAAGCGGTGCTGTGCGGGGACAGAGCCCCCGGGGGCCCGCGGTGCCGTCGGCCAGATCTGCCCGGCCTGCCAAGGCTGGCGGGGGCGCCGGGCAACTCCCTCCCGGCTGGCAAGGCAGCGCCAAGCTGCAACCACGGAGGGAGGCGGGAGGACTGCGCATGGCGCCCCCTCTGGCCTCGGGCCCCCAGGCGGCACCTGCCCAGGTGCCAAACCCAAAGGCCGTGCTGCGGACCACCCCAGCGCGGGAGCGAGCGGGCAGGCGGCCCCTCGGTGGCAGCGGTGGAGGAGCCGGCGAAGGAAGCCATGGTGCCGGGTGGCCCACGCCCTTGCCAGCCAGCGGGAGCCGAGCCGGGATGCCCCCCGGAGAGGCAGCTTCCCCAGGAGGGCCACAGCCTCCCCGCTCACAAGCGTGCAGGGGGCGCGCGGCACTTCCGAAGCGTGCAGCCAGAAGGCTCCTCCGCCCGCCCCGGCCCGTTTTCACTCAGGAGGAGATCCCCCCCCGCCGCGGGCCGGGCCCCCCGCCCCCCACCTGGCAGCGCTCCCTCCAGCCGCCCTTCCCAGCCGTCGGAGAGGCGGCCGTAACCCAACCCGGAGCACGGGCACCCCAGCGCCACGCGAGGAATGCAGATGCAAACCGCAGGCAGCCTGCAACAGGAAGCGCGATTTAATATTTCCTGATTTAGGGAGAGCCGAGCGTGCGGAAGGCAGGGGCGCCGTCCCCGCGGAGGTCAGGCCTGCCTTCATACCTAATACGTTATGGGCCGTGGCGCGCTATCCAGCCGTCGCGTTACACTCGCAGCGTGTTTATGAAAAACAAAATCAGTTCCACATGGCAGGTGGGGAGCGGCTGCCGCCCGCCCGCCCGCCCGGCTCCGGCTCCCCCCGGCCCACGCTCGGCAGTACCTGCAGGGGTCCAGGGCCCGGAGGGGCTGCCCGCGGGCAGCGCTCTTCCTCTCGCTCGCCTGCACGGCCTTGGGGAGCAGGACGCCCACCGCGCAGCTGACCCGGAGCAGCAGGGAGGCGAACAGGTCCGCGTAGAGGCCCGCCACAGCCGGCCCGGACTCCCGCACAGACATGATCTCATGCAGCGCGCATGTGGCCTGCACCAGGAGGAGGAGGAGGCGGAGGAGGCGCGGGTGAGACAGGGCGTCCGCGGCGGGCCAGCCGGGGCTCCTCCGCCCGAGCCTGCGCCGGGGCAGGGGCAGACGAGGCCGGGCAATTCGGCGGCTGCCGGCACAGGCCTGGGCCGACACGGGACAAAGGCCCATCCGCCCGGGTGCTGAAGGGTCACCGGGAGGCCAGAAGCACACGGCAGCCCCGGGCAAGAGCCCTCAGCAAGACCTCCCCGGAGAGCGCCCCCCGCCCTGCCCCACGGCTCAAGGGCAGCCACGGGCGCCCTGCCGATCCGGAACGGCCAGAGCAGAGGACCTCCGCACACCCCGAGAGGTCAGTGTGTCAGGAGGGAGGCCCAAGGGGCGGGCGCTACGCCCTGCCCGGCCACGAAGCGTCCTGCCAGAATTTGGGCCGCTGGACTCTCCCAACTGAACCCGCCTCACAGGGCTGTTGTGAGGACGGACTGGCGCTGGGCGAGCCGCCGCAGCTCCCCGCAAGGGCAGGAGGTGGGGGCAGTGACGCACGTGGCAGGCAGGCCGATTCTGGAGGAGCCCCGAGCTGCAGGGCAGGCCAGGGCGGGGGGCCGCGTCGTGTCCCGGGATAGAGGCGGGCAGGAGGGGGGCAGCCGCCGGGACACTCACCGAGAGGGGCAGCAGGGTGGCCACGCGCTCCGGGCCGCCCCCCCGCAGGAAGGACTTGGTCTCCTTGTACGGGACGTCGTGGTTCACCTTCTCCAGCAGCAGCTCCAGGACCTGGGAGGCGAGGGTGGGCTCCGTGGCCAGCGCCCGCCACATGGTGCCCGTGGAGCTGCAGGGGAGGAGGAGGGCGCGGGCGGGTGTCCGGGACGCGGGCGGGGCAGGACAGGCCGGGGGCAGGAGGGCCGCTCTGCCCCGCCAGCCCCCTCCCCTCACACCCGCCCCCCCACCCACCGTGAAGGGGCACACCGGGCCCCCTCCACTCCAGAGGGGCGGGACCCTCAGCCCCTGCGCGACCACCAGGCCGGGGGCCGCATGTGGCTGCCTGGTCCAAGGGCTGCAGACCGTCTGTGGGGCAGGGCTCGCCGGAGAGGGGGCAGAAGCGGAGGGGGACCCGAGAGGAGCCACCCCGGCCCCTGGGGCAACCCTCCCGAGCACAGGCCCAAGCTCCCCCAGGCAGGGGGCCGCAGGGTCCCCGAGGCGGGGCGGGGGCTCCCTACCGGTCCAAGGGCAGCGGCTGGCCCAGGAGGGCGGCCACAACGGCGGCCTTGTGCTGCGCGGCCAGGATGCAGACCGTCTGCTGCGCGGCCTTCCGCACGGGCTCCTCGTCCACCTCCTGCAGCTTGGCGTGCACCGTCGCCAGGATCTCGGGCACCTTCGCACAGCCGGAGACGCCGCCTGGTTCACTGCACCCGCCTCCCGCCTCCGTCCTTCCCTGCCGCCTCTCCCCCGCGCCCTCATCCCGCCCACACGAAGCTGCCCTTCCGGGAAGGCTGGGCCGAGCCCCAAGGCCGCCCGTCGGCTCCCGGATCTTCGTCCGCCCCACCGCACAGCCCTGCAGCAGGCCCTGGCCCCACGGCCCTCCGCCCGCCTGCCCATGCCTTGCCCCCAACCCGCGAGCCCCTGCGGGGCTGCCGGCCCCTCCCTCGGCTGCAGCAGGCACCCCCTAAAGGGCGCGCCGGGAGAGCTGCCCCCCCAGACCGCGGCACAAGGAGTGCCCCCTTCTGGGCTGGCTGCAGCCCCCCTTGAGCGGACGAAGGCGGCTGGTCGGGCCCCGGGGCTGCATGGGCCTTCGCGGACCCCTCCCCATGGGGCTCAGGCCGGAGGGCCGGGCCAGGTGGCGCCCAAGAAGCAGCCCACAACGGGCGGGACCGCGGCAGAGCGCGTCCCCCTCCGCGGGGTGGCCCTGCAGTGCAGGGGAGCCCCTCGCCAGTTCCCCCCAGCGCAGACCGGCCAACACCTGCCCCGAACTTATGGGGGGTAACCACGCAGACCGCCCAGTTCGGAGAAACAGACTTCTAGGGCGGAGGGAGGCAGAGTGGCTCTCGCAGGGCCCTCCCCATCGCTGGGGCCACTGCCGGGCCTGCCATCTGCCGCCCCCAGCCCGGCCGGGGGCCGGCGGCTGCCAGGGCCCCACAGCCCTGCCCCCAACGGGGCAGGCTCACTCCTGGCAGGACGAGAAGAGCTGCCCCCCGACGACCGAGGGCCGCTGGGCCGGACCCCTGCCCGCCTCACCTTCTCGGCCAGGACAGCCCCGCGCTCCTTCAGGACGGCGTTGATCAGCACGGCGGCTGCCCGCGAGCAGTTCCGGTCGGGATCGGCCAGCCCGCCGAGCAGGGCGAGCAGGAGGCTGAGCAGCTGCTCGGGGGGCAGGCGCTTGGCCACCACCTGGCAGGAGGGAGGGAGGGAGGGAGCGCACAGGTCACCCCGGGGCAGCCCCCCTCTGCACGGGCTGCCCTGCCCGCCCTGCGCCGGCCCACCCCCCCACAGAACGGGGCGAAGGGCGCAGCAAAGCCCGCCGGGCAGGGGGGCCGCCTTCCCGTGCCGCACAGAATTTCGCCCGGGGCTCAGGCAGCCCGGGGCGCCCCAGGGGCCGAGTGCAAGCCGCTGCCGGGGCTTCGCGGGCACCTGGCCCACTGTGGGCATCTCAGGAGCGGCGCCCGAACCTCCCCGCTGCGGATGGGGGCAGAGGCCGCCCGGGACCCACTGCCCCAGGGAGCAGCCGGAGCGCCCACCTTGGCGATGGTGCAGCAGGCCTGGAAGAGCACGTGGACGTCCGGGTCCCGCAGGCTCGCCTTCAGGGCCTTCAGCCGCTCGATGGACTCGTCCCGGTGATCTCGGGAAAACCCTGCGTGGAAAGAGAGCGGTGGCCCGGGCGCTGAACCCGCCGGGCGGCCCCTGCACGGCTCTGCCGGAGTGAGCCGTGGCCTCGGCCTCCGGGGAGCGCCCGAGAGCCCCTCGCAGGCCGCCCCGCTCTGCCGGGAGAGCGCAGGGCCTTGGCCGCCCCTCCGGCGTGACCCTGGCCCGGCCGGCCCGGCCCAAGCGGAGTCCTGCGGCTCCGTCCATCCGAAGGGACGTGGCGCCCCCTGCTGCCGAGAGGAACCCTCCGCCACCCCGGCTGAGACGAGGCCTCCGGCCAGACGGCTGCTGCTGCGAAGCCCCGCTGGAAGAGGGGCAGCCCCACGCGGGCCGGGGAACGTGGGGCAGCCCCACAGGCCTTCCCCACGCATGCGCTTCCACGAGAAGGTGGCACGCTGCGTGTCCGCAGGGCAGCAGGCTGAGGGGGGGAAGGGAAGGGAAGGGAAGGGAAGGGGGAGACACGAGCACAACTGTCCCCGCGGGGGTCGCGGCGGCGGGGAGGCCCCCACGGTCACCTTCATAGCAGAGCTGGACGTAGAGCAGTGCGCAGATGCCGTCCACGGCGTGCCGGCGGACGCTGGCCAGGGAGTCGGTGCAGCGGGGGGAGAGCAGGGCCGCCAGCTGCCCCAGGTTGTGGAAGGGCATCACCGTCTGCGCATGGGGCGGAGGGGGCCTGAGCCACGGCTGCCACGGCCCGCCACCCCGCGGCAGCCGCGGCCCCCGAGCTGGAGCACCTGCCGGGATGCCAGCCCCAGCCGGCCGGGCGAGCCACGGATCCCGGCCTGGGCCCGGGAGCAGCACTGGACACTCACGCTCACGTTCAGCTTCTCCCAGTAGAAGTGCAGCACCACGGCGCCCAGCTCCACGGCCCGCGCCCGCTCCCGCTCCTCGGCGGACCTGATCCAGGGGCTGAGGTGCTGCGGAAACAGCGGGACGGCAGGGCCTCAGCACTCCCGCGCGGGGGGGTAAGGCCGGGCCAGCGGCGCCAGGAACCTCGGGAGGCAGGCAGGGGGAGGCAGCCGCCCTCCGGCGGGGGGCCCTACCTCGAACATGGTCTGCAGGCCGTGCGGAGTCACGTGCCGGCAGAGGAGGCTCCTCAGCAGGTCCTTCAGGGCGCGGAGCGTGCCATCCCACAGGGGCTGGAAGGAGAGCGGGAGGAGCAGGCGCTCGGGGGAGCCGCGCAAGGACCCGATGCCGGCGCGGGGAGCCCCGGGGCCGGGGGCAGCCCCCCTCCCCACCCGCCGGCCTGGCCCAGCGAGGAGTGCCCTTCAGCGACGGGGAGCTCCAGAGCGCCAGGAGGAGCACGAGGAAGCATTCCTGCGGCACAGAAAGGATGCCCCGAAGCCGGCACCCCACGGCGGGGCTGCCTGACCCCTTTAGCTGGCTGGACAGACAAACCCCGGAGGAAAGCCTCCAGCACGGTCCCCCGCACCCCGCAATTCTCCATTTCCTTGCTTAAGGCTTTCATTCCGCGTTTCCGACCGTGCTGCCTGAGCTCGGGAGGGCAAGCCTGTGCCCTGGCTCTCAGGCCGGCCTCTGCCTGGACTTCGGCTCGGGGCACTTTCCTCTCCTGCTCTCTGGAAGCGAGTCCGGGACCCTGGTGGCCATTCCTGCAAGGGGGCGACCCTCCCCCAGTAGCCACAGCGCCCGCTCCAAATCCCGACGGGCCTCGGACCCGAATCGTCCAGAGGCACGCGCACAGACCGTGCGGCTGCCAGGCATACCTCCTCGTGCCCGGGAGGCGGCGGTGCCCCTTCGCACTCCCCCGGGGCCTCGGGCAGGGGCAGCACGCTGGCCAGGCACGTCTCCACCAGCTCGGCCGTCTCCACGTCGCTCAGGGGGGGCTCCAGCACACTGAGGCGCAAGTTAAGGGCCGGGAGCGACCCTTGGACGGGCCAGCAGCGGCTGCCAGGAGGCAGGGTCGGGAGGCAGCTTTGCCGGTGTGGCTCGACTTCCGGGAGCCCCGGCAACAGGACGTGGTGGCCCCCAGCGCCTCGACCTTCGCCGGGTCGGACCTGTCCGGGGAGGAACAGGTGGAGGGAGCAGCCGGCAGCTGCACAAGCCTCCGTGCCCAGAGGCAGTCTACCAGAGGCTCCTCGGTGCGTGTGGCCAGCCGCTAACGGGGCGAGGGGCGGCCTGGGCAGGGGGGCCCCAGCCGAGGCAGCAGCGCTGCCCCTGGCTCTCCGGGCCCCGGCGAGGGCTGGGAGCACAGGAGGGCCCATCGCGACAGGCCTGCCGGGGAGGCCCAGGGGCGCCTCACGGGCACTGCCGGGCGGCCCCTGCCACGTGGGCGCAAGGCGAAGGATACACAAGGTACACGCAGGCGGCCATGGCCCTCTGGCGGACGGGGCTGTGCAGGGAGTCGGGCGGCTCGGCTCGGATGAAGTCCTGCGGGAGGGATCACGTGGGAACACGCCCGACCGGCGTGGGGGCCTCCCCACCAGAGCACCCGGGGGGACCACCACACGCCCCCCCCGGCCGGCAGGGCCAGCACACCCAGAGGGCTCAAAGCGGGGCGGGCCCACCGACCGTGCCTGGGGGCCCGAGCGCTGCCGGGTCCGGTGGCCGGGCGGGCAGCAGGGCCGCGCTCACCCCCCCCGCGGTGCTGGAGAGGGCCAGGCTGCCCGGAGCCCGGTGGGAGGGCCACGCGCTGGGGGCGGCCAGAGCCCAGCCCAGCCCAGCCGGGCACGGGCTGCCTGCGCCCACCGGGACGCTCCTGGCGCGGTGCAGCAGGAGGCCCGGGCCGAGGGGGCCACCCACGCGGGAAGCAGTCCTCACCATCATCTGCAGCACCAGCTCGCCCTTGCGGGCGAAGCTGAAGCCCCGGGCTTGCGCGCTGGAGCAGACCGCCTGGCAGATCATGCAGATGCTCCGGATGAGGCACAGCTTCAGGGTCAGGTCCTGCGGGGAGACCGGTGGGCGAGCCCGGCGGGTCAGACCGGCAGCCGGCCCCGAGCCCACCGCAAGCTCGGCAGCCCCTCCTGCCCATCCCCAGCAGCGGCGGGACACAGGCGCCTCGAGGGCGTGCGAGGGCCCAGGGAGGCCGGGGGGCTCGGGGAAGCCACGCACGGCTGCACAAGCGCGCCCGAGGCCCCCTCTGGACCGAGCTCGCGCAGCCATTGGCCACGGCAGGGCCAGGCCACGGCTGAACAGCCCCGGGCCGGCCGGCCTTGCCCGGGCTCACGAGGCGGGCTGTCTGGAGGGCCAGAGACCCGCACGGGCTGCCGAGAGCCCCGCGGCCCCTCGAAAGTCAGAGTGGGGCTGAGGGCCGTGCTCTGGCGGGGCCGACTCTGCCGGATGAGCCCACGCCCCTGCCCGGCTGGCAGGGGGCGGACCGAGACGCCGCGCGGTGTGACCACAGCAGGCGCGGGAGTGGGAAGCGGGCTTTCTCCTCCGGCGGGAGAGGCCTGCCAGGGGCCCTCCGCCCAGCGCCTCCTGCCGGGGGCCCAGCACCAGACCCCACCCCTCACCAGGAAGGCCGGTGGGAAGCAAAGCGAGCCGGGACCACCATTGGGCTGCTCAAGCCCCAGGCCGCCAGAGGTGGTCCAGGCGGCCGTGTGTGCAGCCCGCCCCAGCCGGTGTGTGTGCCCGAGGCGCCTCGCGGCCCCCCAGCGTGCCCCCCAGCGGTTAGTGCAAACGACAGGAAGAAGGCATTAGTAAGACGGGGAGGCACAGGCGCCCGCCTCCGCACACGGGCAGCTCCCCTTCCGGAGGCGGCTTGCTCCGCCCGGCCAAGCCGGGGGGCAGTGGGTGGATCCTGCCCAGGACCACCCCGGTCCCTGGCCCCACAGCCAAAGCCGGGCTGGGGGCCAGCAGGCAGACACCCGCCCGGGGGGGAAGCTGCAGGCCGCCCGGCCTCCATCTTGCACAACGTGCCGGCCCGGCCCGGCCCGGCCAGGGGCACAGGCACAGGGGGCTCGTCCCAGGCAGGAACCTGCATCCTTCACATGGGAAGGCCCCGCTCCCTCGGCCAGGCAGCGGGATGGAGGCGCATGCGTCTCCAACTCGCCCACGCGAGGCCGCCCTGGCCCGAGCCAGAGAAAGGGCTTCTGCTAGCCAGAGCTGCAGGGACCAGGGCGCCCCCCTGGCCGGCCTCTCCCCCGCCCAGCTCCTGGGCCACAGAGAGGGGCCCTGGGGAGCCGGCGGGGGCCTGACTGCGAGAGCAGAGTCAGGAGTGGCTCTGCCCGGCCCAGCCCGGTCCAGAGCATGGCGTGGCACGGGCGGGCCAGATCCTGCTCAGGCCTGCTGCATGGTGCCCACCCTACGCCTCCGAGCCCAGCGCTCGCCAGAGAAGAGAGAGGCAGAGGACAAGAGGGCAGAGCGAGGCCTGAAACTGTACCTTGGTTTCTACCTTTATTCCCAGAACCTGGACGAGATAAAGGAGAGACGGATTAACGTCGCCCGGCCCAGCCTGACCCCGGCCCGACCCCGAGCCCACAGACGGCGGCCCCACGACCCGTGCCAGGGAGGCCGCACTTGCCTTGGTGTGGAAGTAGAGGAAGATGTTGCGCAGGAAGTCGGTGTCGATCCGGGCCAGCACCAGCTCCGGCGGGGCGTGCCTGGCCACGTGGCCATAGCACAGGATGAGGGCGCCCTTGACCTTCTCGGCCTCGTTGTCGCTGCGATCCTGCGTGGGCGATGGCGTCAGTGCCTGCCGGGCCCCCCACCCTTGGGGCGCTCCTTGATGGCCTGGGGGCTGGCAGAGGCGCTCACCTTGAAGAGGCTGAAGAGCCCCGCGGACTTCTTGAAGAGGTCGGACTTCACGAACTCCTCCAGCTTGGCGAGGGTCTCGTCCAGGTGGCTGGCCGCACACAGCCCCAGGCAGGCGGCCAGGCCCTGCGGAGACGAGCAGAGTCTCCCGTCACCGGCCCCCCGGCGTGCCCAAGGGGGAGCCGCAGGATCGCGGTGGGGCCGCGCCGGCGGCCGCCAGCGCTCCCACAGCCGGGGCCAGGCCTCCCCGCGAGGCAGCCGGCAGGGAGGCATGGCTTCCCGCAGCGTGGCGGGCGGCAGTCTGTCACGAGCCACCAGGCAGTCCACAAAAGCGGTGCCACAGGATGCTGCGTGCGGGAAGGCGGCGCACCACGGGCGCACCGGAGCAGGCGGCACCGCCACACCAGGCCCAGCCCCAGATCCAGAGGCCGCCCCCGGGGGGGCACTAGCCGGCAGCAGGCAGTCCTCAGGAGGCCCCTCGCCATGGCCAGGCCAGCCCCGGACGCAGACCAGCCCTTCCGTCCGACGGACGAGCAGCAGCGCCGCACAGCCCTGCCGGGGTCGCGGGCTGCCGAGCCACCCCCTGCCCCGACCCTCCCGCCGGCAGCCTCACCTCCTTTTCTGCCTCCTCCTGGTACCTGGCCGTCTCCAGGAGCTCCTGCAGCTGCCTCTGCACCAGCTCCTTGTCCAGGCAGGCGGCCAGGGCCGTCCCAATGCTCTTGTAAAGGAAGCTCTGCGGAGGGGAGGGGAGGGGAGAGCGGCCTCGAGCCAGGAGCCTGCAGCTCGGCTCCCGGGAGGCCTCGGCGGCTCTGCTCCCACCTCCCTCCCCTCTGTGCCAGGGCAGGAGACCTCCCCCAGCCATGGCACCGCCACCGGCCGAGGGCCACCTGCCCAGCCAGGCCCCGCCGGGGCAACCGACCTTCTCCGGAGGTGCCCCACAGTAGCTGCTCAGCTGCCGATGCATTTCTAGAACCAGCCGGCGGGTCCAGAGCGTGTCCGCAACAGTGGCCAGAGTCCGGCTGAGGAGCTGCAGGGACGCACGGGGGAGTCATGTACAGCGCCGGCCCACAGCCACCCCGAGAGCGGTTCGAGCACTTCCGGTATCGGGCTCTTAAAGAGGGGACGGAGGCCACGGTGCAGAGCGCAGAAAGGGTCTGCATGGGGCGGGGGTCCCACTGGGGCTTGGGGCGCCTGGCACTTCCCCGGGTGGCACTCGGCCCAAGCCACCCCACGGGGCTGCAGTTGGGAGCAGAAGAGGGGGCGCGTGAGCGGCCTCGTTTCTCACAAGAGGGAAAAAGCGGGACAGGACCTAACATGGAAAGGAGCAGAGCCCAGAAGCGGGCCTGGGCCCCCGACCCCGCTGAGCTGGCTGCCTCCGGCACTGGCCGAGCAGGGCCCCGGGGTCCACGCGCCTGCCCTGCTCGCGGTCCCTGCCCCGGCGGCCCTCCGGCACCCGGCTCCTGCCTGGCAGCCTCCCCCCATCCCCCACAAGCGCTCGGGGAGGCCGCTTGGAGGGGGCCGCCGAGGGCACACGGGAGGAAGGCCGCATGATGAGAACGGCCCCGAGTGCAATCGATCTTTCGAAAGGCGGCCCTGCGGAGAGGAAGCGCACGAGCACCTGGAGGTGACACGGCACCGCCAACGGGGCCCTTCGCCCAGCCTCCCGGGAGCGCCCAGACCCACCCCCCGTGGCTCACGGGGCGCTTGCTGGCCCGGCCTCTCGGCACACGGGCCGCTCCTTACCGCGAGCAGCCGCTCCTCCCATTCCTTCTGGGACAGTGATGCCGCCGTGTTCGCTGGAGGAGAGGAGAGGAGAGCAGAGGAGCCGAGCCTGAGGGCTTCTGGCCTTCCCTGCGTGGCTGGATGCCACACGGCAGCCGCGCCCGATGCCGGGGAGTCGCAGCCACCCACCGCCACAGGCCTACAAGCTCAGCCGCACGCAGCACCGCCTCTCTGGGGGAGACACGGCCTCTGCCCCCGCTGGGAGGGGGCCCAAGACAGAGGGGGACCCCAAGCCTAGAGGGAGACAGCCCGGGGGTGCCGGGGCTTGTTCAGAAAAGGTGGAGGCGGCCAGGGGCTTCTCGCTGCAGCCACGAGGGTCCCCCACGCCAGACCGGGCAGGGCTTGCTCGGGTCCCCAGCGTGGAAGGTGCCGGCCCCCAGCCGCTCCTGCAGCTTCCCAGGAGACCCCGGGCCCAGAGGACTGCCGCGAGCTGCGGGGCGGCCTCTCCTTGCTCAGCCCCCCAGGCCAGCCCTGAGCCTGCCTGCTGATGCGGCCCCGGCCCCGGCCGCTCCGCGAGGGCCCTTCGGCTGCCCGCCGGCTCGCCTGGAGTGGCGCTGCAGAGCCCCTCCTTGAACGAGGAGCCGGCGCCTGGGGCCGCCTTGCGAAGAGCAAGCAGCGCGCCCAGCCCACGCACCCCGCCTGCCACGCGCCACGTGCAGCGCCCGGACCCTCGCAGGCAGCCCCTGGCCCGGTCTGCGGGCGAACGGCAGAGGGCCCACGCAGGGGCCTCTTCCCGGAGAGGACGCGGCCCCGCTGGCCCCCCAACGCGAGTCTGCCGCCGCTGCCGCCTTTACCTTCCAGGTGTCCCACCAGGGCAGGGATCTCCTCGCTCCAGAGCGGCTGGAGGGCCTTGTGGAGGCTGCGGTGCAGCACGGCCAGGAGCCGCAGGGCAGCTGCCGCGCGCCCCTCTCCTGCGTGCGGGCGGGAGGCCACGACCTGCCGGCAGAGGGAGGGCAGCGCAAGCTGGAGGCCCCGGGACGGCCCTGGGGAAGGGGCGGCAGCACAGCTCCGTCTGCGCGGGGCCGGGCCAGGCTGAAGGCAGGGCCCTGGTGGGAGCGGCCAGCAAGAGCCGTGCCTTCTAGAGACGGGCCGTGACGGGTGGCAACCAGAGCCGGGCCCCCAACCCGGGGAGTGAGCAGATCCTCCCTGAGGAAAGGGGAACGCGGAGCAGGGCCACCTCAGGTGGATCCTTCCGGTCTCGAGGAGGCGGCGGAGGAGCAAGGGGGGGAGCCAGAGCTCCCGGATCCAGACCGACTGCTGAAGCGGCTCAGGAGAGCACGGGACTCGGCCTGCTTTGACGGGCAGAGGGGCCTTCAGGATGGGGGCTCCTGACCCCGTCTGTTGGGGCTGGCAGAAGACGTGGGGCCCAGGCAGAGCACCCTGCGCCCCCATCCAGCCTGCGGCAGGAAGAGCCGCCCTGGGGAGACATCGGAAGCTCTGCTGAAAGGGAGAGGGAGGGCAGGGGGCGCTTCCCAGGCCGGCTTCAGCTCTTCACATGGGCAGAGGCTTCTCCCTCAACTCTGGCGGAAGGCTACTGGGGACCTGCATTCTCCTGCAATCTGTTATGTGTCGGAACTCAGCGGCCGCCTTCCATTTGACGAACAGAAGGAAACGAGGGAAGGACAAGGCAAGCTGGTCTCCTGTGCCCAGAACCGCTCCAGCAACTCAGACCGGGGACGGGGATGGCCACGGGGAGCCCCCCACTCGGGCCTGCAGGGCCCCCTCCCCACCTGCTCAACAGGACCCTCCCACGCGGGCCGGCCCCCCTCTGCGCCCTTACCAGCAACCGTGTCAGGAGAGCGTAAGCGGACGGGAGGGGTCCTGCAGAAGGGAAGGAGGAAGGCGTGAGGCCTGTCAGACTCAGACACTGGGGGGGGGGGCAAAGCCACCCCCATGGGGAGGCGTGTGAGGGCAACGGAGGCACGGTGCTCGGTCACAGGCGGAAGAGCTCCCACGAAGCGGCAGAGGCGTTTCCGCAGTCGCCACAGGCGAGACGCGCGCTCAAGCCCTCGCAGCTGGGAAGGCCACGGCCATGCGGTTTGTGGGCTGCAGCCTGAGGCACAGCTCTCAGCCCGCCCCCCCCACGAGGCCGCCGGGACCAGCCAGATGGTCCGCCAGCACCAGAAGCCCCAGCCCCGCACTGCGGCCCGGATCTCCCGGCAGAGGCTGGCGGCACTCGCCAGCCGCACTCCACAGAAGCCCCCGGCACAGCCCTCCCAGCTGGACACACACCGTGGCCGTCGGAGGGCAGCTGGAAGGCGGCCTCGTCCTCCTCTTGCCTCTGGCCGGCCAGGTAGATGAGGCTCCGGCAGAGCGGGGCCAGGGCGCCGGTCAGGTGGACGGGGGTGACGAACGCCAGCAGCGAAGGCCAGAGCACCTGCAGGGCAGAGCGCCAGATGCAGTCCCCCCCCCCCCCCGGGAGCAATCACCCCCACCCCACCCAGCCAGCCAGCCAGCCAGCAGCAGAGACGGGGCCCTCCCACACAGGACGGGCCCCCACCCCCCACCTCCCTGCTTCCCTCCCCCTCCCAGTGCCAGCCGGAGCGGCACGGGCCACAAGGGAAGCCGCCGGTGCTGCTGGGCCCGGGGCCACCCGAGTGCCAGCCGGGCCCCTCTCCTCGCAGGGCTGAGGTGCCCAGAAAAGCTCTGCCTGGAGGCAGCCCCCCCACTCTGGGGCACGGGGCATGGGGCACAGGGCACAGCTCCCCCGCACACGGACCGAGGGAGGACTCAGCGCCCAGCCGCGGGCGGAACGGGCTGCTCACGTCGGCCATCCTGTCCACCGTGCTGCTGAGGAGGCAGAGTGTGCTCACGCTGATGTCCCGGAGCTGCCGGTCCGTCACGTCCTCGGTCTCCAGGGAGTGCCTCCGGGGCGGCTGTGGGGACTGCACACACGCACCGTCCAGAGACACGCCAAGAGCACCGCAAACGCACAGCCGGGGCTGCGCCCGCGGGCCCCGCTCCATGACACTGTCCAGAGGGAGCCTCCTCTGCAGGAAGCGCTCGGTCTGCGCCTGCCCAGATTCACAGGGCAGAGCCGGCCTGGGGGCTCCCTGTGGAAATGAGCCACGGGGGGCATGCGCAAGCCGAGCAGGGCCCTCCTGCCACCGAGCCGGACATCTCTGCCCTGCGATTCTCCCCGGCCAACAGCTTGCCGGGCCCCACACGGCCCCCGGACACACCCCTGGGCCCTCACGCCGCTCCCTCGGCACAAAGAGCGCGGCTCGCCTGCTCCGCCGAGACCACGTGCCGACCCAGTTCCCATCCTCCACAGCTTCCTGGGGAATATTTGCGGGCGGCACCCCCACCCCTGATCTCGAGCCCTGGCTGAGCCATCTCTGGAGCCAGCCCCTGAGGAGGGGGCCCCAGGGAGCTCCTCCTGCCCGCCCACCCGCTGGGAGGGTGGCCGGGCGCCTGTGCAGAACCGAAGCCAAGCGAGGGCCCGCCTGAGCACAGGGCTGGCTGGGCAGCCTCAGCGCGGGCACAGCAGGGCCCCAGGCCAGGCCAGGCCGGGCCCCTGCAGAGCGGGCGGAGCGCCAGACTCCTCGGGAGCCGCATCCTCACGGAAGCCAGCCCGCACGCCTGGCACAGGGACAGGGCAGGTCCCGCAGCGCCAGGGCTCCCGGGCACCCTGCCTCACGGCCTCTGGCCGCATCCCGGAGCACCCACTCAGCCCAGGAAGGGGCTCAGGCACGCCGGTGCAGGCCCTCCGGCTGCAAGGCGCCCCCTGGCCCACTGCTCACAAGGAAGCCCGGACCTGCTCAGCCGGGAGCGCGCACTGGCGGACGAGGAACTCGATCAAGGCTTCTCCGCCCGGCTGCTCCAGGTACCCGTGGTGGGCCATGGCGCTGATCAGCTGCACCGCTGCCCGCTTCACCTGCGGGGGAGCAGCCGGGCACGTTGCTGGCTGGGCAGGCGGCTGGGCCCCCACCCCCAGGCACCGCCCCGGGGAGCTCCCCCCGAGAGGGTTGCTCTGCAGCAGAGCCCCTGGGGCCGGGCAAGCCGCCTGCCACGCCACTCCGGCCCCCGCGGGAGCCAGGCCCTGCCCCCACGCCTGTCCCAGGCTGGAACGGCCACCCGGGCACGGCGGGGCGGGGCGGGGCGATCCGTGTGGCACAGACGGGGTCCCCCACAGCCGCGGGGAGGTGAGCGTGTCGGGGCGGGGGGGTCCGGGGGGGCGGAGGGCGAGGGCGCCCTGCTCACCTTGTTGCTGCTGTCCTGCAGAGGCAGCTTCAGGGAGGACAGGATGAAGAGCTTCTTGGCCTCCATCTGGGAAGCTGGCGGGGGGGGGGGCAGATGCGGCGTCAGTGGCTGGGCGTGTGGGGGGCTCCGTGGGCCGGGGCAGGAAAGGAAGTCGCCCCGAGGAGGCCGGACCCGGAGGCTGCCGCCGGCGCACCTCTGGGCAAACACAGGGCCAGCCGGGGCTTGCGGGAGCCGGCCGGCCGGTCGGCAAAGGCCCTCGCCCGGAGGAGCAGCTGTCCGGCCACACGCGGACCTGGCGCTTCCAGGCCTCCTCGGACAACCCAGGAGACGCCCCGGGGGCGCCCCGGAAGCAAAGGCGGGCCCGACACGGGGGCGGGCGACAGGCGGCCGACCAGGGCGCGCAGCTCAGGGCCCCCCACCCCTCACCCGGCAGCCCCACCATCCCCCCCGCCACGCCCGCTCGAAGGGCAGCCCGTGACATCCCGGGGCCATGAGCTGCCCCCCGCTGGGCCGGGGTCAAGCGCTGGCGCAGGGAGCTGGCGTCAACAGGTGCGAGTGCGGGCCCAGGACCCGGGGCTTGGCGTACGCGGGCCGAGCAGAGCCGCCCGCGGGTCAGGAGCACCGAGGGAGGGCAGCGCCTCCGCCGGCTGCCGGGAAGAGCCGGGGGGGCGGGGGGCGCGGGGCCCCTTCACTTACAGACGCTGTTTATGATCTGCCGCAGGATGGTCAAGGTCCCCACCCGCGCCCTCTCGTTGCCCGACTCCAACCTCGGGAGCAGGAACGCCAGCACCCGGTCGGGGAAGGCGGAGGCTGCGAGAGACGCCAGCCGGGCCGGCCGTCAGCCACGGGGCAAGGGAAGGGCAGGCCAGCCGGCCCCCGCCCCCCGCCCCCGCAGGCGCCCCCACCAGCCCCCTGCTGGCGCAATGGCCAGGCGCCAGGCTTCCGCCGGACCGCCACAGCCGGGGACAGAACTGCTGCAGCGGAGAGGCGCAGAGCTCGGCCCCCACGCGCCTGCCCTGGCCCACCTGCCTGGCCTTGCAGGAGCGGGCGCGGGACAGTCCTGCCCCAGGCTCCCCCCTCCTGCAGAGCGAGGGCGGTTGGCGGCCTCTGGGCCGGGCTGGGCCGGGCACCCGCCCCCACACGCCGCCTGCCAGGGGGCCTTGTGCAGCTCCCCGCTTCCCGGCAGCTGCGGGGCTCTTACCAAGCACCGTGAAGCACCGAAGGACCTCGTTGTGGTTCTTCAGTGACACCGGCATGGACAAATCCGGAGGGGCACAGATCTGCACGAGGGAGGAGAGGCGGCGGCTGAGGCGGGCAGAGGTGGGGCCCTGGCCCTGGCGCTGGCGAGGGGGGCCCAGAGAGGGCTGATGGCACAGCCTCCCCCATTTGGGCCCAGCCAGCACCCTGGGGGGCAGGCAGGCAGCCCGGCCCCAAGACACCCGCCGAGGGGATGAGGCCCAGCACCGCCCCCGCCCCGCAGTCTGGACTCCAAACACCGTGGCACCACCCTTCCGGCCACCCAAGCCACGTGCATCGCTCACCTCCGCCCGCCCCCCCCCCCCCGCTCAGCAGAAGGGGACCACGAGCCCCGGCTGCCCCCATCTGCCTGCTCAGGCAGGGCGGGGCAGGACTACATGAGCGGGCGCACAGCTCACGGCAGAACAGGGGTTCCCTGCCCGCCGTGCCCTGCCTGACCTCTGCAGTGGGCGGCTGGCAGGGGCGCCAGAGGCCTGCCCACCCACCCCGGAGCCGGCCCCTCGCCCACCTGGAGCTGGAGGGCACCGAGGAGCATGTCCAGCTGCGTGTCCAAAGTCCGGCTGCCGATGTTGACGGAGGCCTCGAGGATCTGGCACAGACTCTACGGAGGGACCGTGGGTCAGGGCAGGCCGGCACACTCCTCTCACACCTGGCGAGCCCCCCGGAGGCTCAGCCGGCCTTCGCTGTCCCACATAAAAGGGCTCCGCCGAGGAAGCTGGTGCCAGACTGAGATGTGGCCGGAGGGTCTCTGAGCGCGTGGTGGCATTCGAAGCTCGCGAGAGCAGAGCTTCGCAGAGTCGGCGACATCCCCCCCCCCCCCCGCGGTCCTGGGGACACGGACAATGGAACCCGCCCCCTTACCTGGCAGAGGGCGACTCCAAGGCCGCCTCCCCTCATCTGCCCACCTGCGAGGGCACGCCGCCTCCCGCCCGCCCAGCGCCTCTCCCATGCTGGCTCTCCCCTTTCTGCTCTCCCGCTGCTCGACCGGCCCGCCTGGCCCTTGCCCGCCCTGCGCTCGCCCTCTTGCCACCTGCCGGGCAGCACACGGGCCCTGGAGCCGAAGGCGACCAAAGCCCGGCATGCGCTCGAGCAGAGGACGGCCTGCAGACCGACGTGGCCGCGGAGCCCCCTCGGCAACGGCCTCCCCGGGGCCCTCGGCGCAAGGGCCCCACCCCCTACCTTGGAGACGTGGTAAGCCTCGGCCGGCTTCCGGTAGAGGGCCAGGATGCCTGGGACGAGGCGAGGCAGCTGCTCCTCCAGCTTCTCGCCGGGCAGCAGGTGGCTCATGGGGCCCAGGGCCTCCACCACGGCCAGCCGCAACTGCAACGGGCAAGACGGAGAGGCAGCCGTCAGCCCGACGGGCACAGCGGAGAAGGCCTCTCGGGACAGCGCCCGACCAGCTCTGCCTCCCGGCCTGGGCCGCCCAGGGGTCCTCTGCCCACCCAGGCTCCAGCACCGGGCGGAGCACCACACTCGCCTGGGGGGCAACGGCTCGAGGGTCCAAGCGCACCTGCGGGGGGCAACCTGGGACTGAGTGCCCATGCTCGCCCCCCGGGGGCCAGACAGCCCCCCACTCCCACCAGGGCCTCCTCGACCCGAGGGGAGGCTCCCCGCCCTCCTCCTCCCCCTCCTCCTCCCCCTCCTCCTCCCCAGCTGGGCAACCAGAACGAGGAGGCCAAGAGGCCCGGTAAGCCGCTCTCCACGGAGGCCCCCGACCTGGACCTGCTGGACCGGGAGCCATGGGGGAGGATGTGGGAGGGGCCACCAGGCGCCGGCCAACTTGAGGCACCCGGTGCCCGGGGGAAGCCCACCCACCAGTCTGGGCGTGGCTGCCCAGCCGAGCCCCTCCCTCCCCAGCCCGGCCGGAGCAGCCAGAGGGAGCCGCACAGCCGAGCGGGGCCACCCCCCGCGCCGCCCACCTTGGTCTCCCGGCTCGGCAGCCAGCTGTTGAAGAGCACGTCGAAGGCGCTGAAAATCTCATTCGAGAAGGTGTCGCGCCGCACCGTCGGGTCGGGCGCCTGGTCCAGGTTGGCCAGGTACTCCTGGATGCTCTCGCTGAAATGCTGCAGAGCTGCAGGACGGGCTGTGGGTCAGGGACCGCGTGGCGGCCACGAGCCCCCCGTGGGGGGAGCGGCCCTTCCTGGCCAGCCGCCGGGCCCCTGCCGAGCACCATGCCCAGGCGAGGCAGCAGGCGCCCCCGACACACAGACGAGGAGCAAAGCAACCTCCTGCGGCTCCAGGGGACGGGGCGAAAGGTCCAGCGCCGTGGCTCAGGGCGCAGGACCGGGCTCGGGCGGCCGAGGTTCGAGCCCCCGCTCAGCCGTGCAGCCCGTTGGGGGACTTTGGGCCAGCCACAGACACTCAGCCCACCCGCCCGCCCCCCACAGGACCGCTGTGAGGAAAAGACCGCGAGCAGGAGGAGGAGAACAACACAAGCGACTCTGAGTGCATAAGAAAAACGCGCAGCACAAATCCAGGAGCGACACCATGGACAGCCAGCCCAGGAAAAGGCTCGTGTGGCCGCAGGCCTCGCCAAGGCACTCGGGCAAAGCTCCTGGGCCGTGAGCCCCGCCGTGCAGCAGGAGGCCCCCGCCGAGGGAGGGGCCGTAAGCAGCGGCTGGAGGGGCTCCTGCCGGGGGGCTGCCCCGGCCGCACCCTGTGCAGGGGAGCACGGGCCCAGCGGGTTCGCACGGTCCCTTCCACACGGCTCTGTGGGACGCCGGCAGGAGGCTCGCAACGGGGCACGGACGTTCCTCCCAAACAGGGGCCTTTGGGGTGCAGTGCCAGCCACGGGGGCGGGGCGGGGAGTGGTGGGAAGGCCCTGAGCAGCAGCCATCGGCTGGAAGCGCTGCCCCTTCTTGCGCCGGGGCGGCTGTTCTGCGGGCTCAGGCACCCCAGAGGCAGCAGCTCTCAGCTGAGCCACAACAGCGAGCCGCGTGAGGGCCTTGCTGGGGGCTGCCTGATCCCCCAAGCACGGCACACCCGCCCCGGCTCGTCGGAGGGACGCGGAGCACTGCCGTACCGTAGCAGAAGACCGACTTCAGGCTCTCCTGCCGGGCCATCCGCAGCATCGGCAGCATCGTCCCCAGGATGGAGGTGAGGAAGGGCACCATGCCGAACACTGGCGGGGAGAACGCGGGGAGACTCAGGCGCCGGCCCAGGCCCACACAGCGAGCACGGGTGCCCCCGCACCCGCCCGGAGGCTCAGCTGGGCGCTGCCTGGGGCCCCCCCGAGGACCCCGGCCCCCTCCCCTCCCTCCAGGGCCATTCCAGCCAAGCATCTCCCGCCCCCCACCTACCGTTCGCCACCGCGAGGCTGGCAAAGGTCTGCACGACGAAGGGGTGCGGCAGGACGCCTGGCTGGAACTTGGTCAGCACCTCCTCCATCACCTGGTTGATGAAGCGCCTGCCGACGGCCACGAGGACGCTGCTGGCCGCCTGCTGCCACTCCGGGACGGCCTCCTGGAGCACGGGGGAAGCGGCGGCTGGGTTCCCTCTGCGCGCACTCACGCGTGCCCCCCCTCCCCCGGGTGCCCCTTTAGGCTAGCCTCGCATGGTCTGCAGGCAGGCGGGGGCTCCCACAGGGGCCCGAGGCCCCCGGAGACGCCCCGGGAAACACAGGTGCCGCTCCAGCCAGTGCGGGGGGCAACCGGTGAGTGGAGAGGCCGCTCTCCCCACTCTCGGGAGGACGGGGCGGCCCCGAGGCCAGGAAGGCCCGCTTCTGGGGGGGCTCCCGCTGCCCGCCCGCAGGCCCCTCCCAGCCGCACCTTCGATTTGGTCATTTCGCTGGATGCCAGGAAGATGACGACCTTTGCGGTGCTTTTGTCCAGGTGAGCGAGGCTGCTCTTCGTCACCGCTTCCATCGCCCGCAGGATAATCACGCGGTGCGGGTACGCCAGCTGAGGGCAGGCAGAAGGGGAGGTCGGCGGGCACCCCGGCCTTCAGGGGGCCCAGGGGGCAATGCAGCCCTCTCTCCCCCCACGTCGGGCACGATCTGCCAGGAAGTGGCATGGGAGCCGTGGGCACCGCCGCAAAGGGCCCAGGCGCCAGCAACCTCGGGCTGCCGCTCGCCGGCGCCACATACGGAAATCCCGCAGGGGGAGCGCCCCGCAGCCAGCAGTCACCCTGCCCTCCGGGCCCTCCCTGCGGGCCCCCAGCTGCCACGCGCCACTTGCCCTCGCCCTGCGAAGCCCCCCAGCTGCCGGGGCACCTGGGCCCCTCCACACTCCGGGGAGGGTGGCGCCTCACCTTGTCGTGCTGCCGCAGGTACTCCTCGCAGGCATGCAGGACCTCCTCGGGCTGCTCCTCCCCCAGGAAGCAGAGGGAGCTGAAGATCTGCTCGTGCACCAGCGGGTCCTTGTCGGTCGTGGCGTCCATCAGAGTCACGGCCAGCCCTGCAGGAGACCATCGGGAGGGGCTGCAGGCGGGCGGCGACTCCCTGCCCTCCTGCGTGGGGCGGCCCCTCCCCTGCCCCTGACACCCCCCCACACCTGGCAGGAGCATCGGGTCCGCCGAGGCAGCTGCCAAACGGGGGGCAGCGGGTGCAGGAGAGGGCAGAGGAGCCGCCCAGGGTGCCCCCCCCCGCTTTGCACAAGGCTCCCTGCCCCTTGCACGTGGAGGAAGGCTCGGCAGGCCTCAGCCAGCTGCCCCCAAACCTCCACAGGGGGCCCCACTTTCTGCCCGCCTGCCTCATCTGTGCCATGGGGCAGCTTGGCGAGGAGAAATGTAAGGTGCCCCCCAGCAGCGAGGGGGTCGCGGTTGCTCTTGCGTGTGCCGGATTCCATGCAGAACTACCGGGGGCCCGGCAAGGCCGTGCTGCGGCCCTCGGGGTCCCGGAGGCGGCTCTGCAGCCCGGCCACAAAGAGCCTCCGGGCCAGGCCACCGGCCGCCAAGCGCTCGCCACCGCCGCGGGCGGGGAGCGTGGCCAGTCCCCCTCCCGGTGCCGCCGCGCGGCTTCCGCTCTGCCCAAGCGGCCCCGTGGGCTCTTGCTCGGCCACGGCGTCCGCTGCCACACGGGTCTGGATGGCACCAGAAGCCGAGCAAGGTCAGGCAGTCCTGCAACAAGCCACGGCTTGTCCGCGAGGCCTGCCAGTACCCCAGGCTTCGCCCTGGATCAGGACCGCCAGCCGAGCCACCACGGCTTCGGCCCCTCCGTGGAGCGGCGGGTCGGTCGGAAAGTGCACCGGTCAGCACAGCCTCCAAGGGCCCAACCGTCGAGGCGAAGGCGCAGCCTGCGAGTCGGAGAAGACGGTGCCCCCCGCGAGCTCAGGCTGGGACACGGGACAGACCAGCCCACGAGCGACCACGTGGCAGGCAGGCACCAGCGACTGCAACAGGGCTGGGCCGGACCGAGGCCCTGGAGCCCCGCAAGCGCCTCCACGGAGCCGCAGGGCTGCCCCAGGGTGCCAGGGCACGTGCTGCATGTGGCCCTTGCACCGCCTCAGGAAGGCCCCAGGGGCAGCGGTGGGCGCATTGAGCCCGCCTACAGCGGGCCGGCAGGGGGCACGCTGGGCTTTGCAGAGGCTTGAAAAATTAAAAGCTCCAGGTACTAAAAAGGTCAAGAAAATTCTGTGCAAGTTAAGGAAGATCTACTGGTGCTAAAGACTTAAGGTACAAAAAGCCAACCAAGTAGACAGAAGAAGGTATTTTAACAAGCGTATTTGGAGGTTTCTTCCCCAGCCTTGCAAGCAGAGGAGTTATTTTAAATGACGTGTAATTTAAATTTCTCTTTTTAAAAAGAAATTATGGTCTAGTCTAGCAACAGAAAGCTACAGGACGAGGAAGAGTAACGGAGAGACGAGAAGCATGTGGAAGAGCCTCCCGAGGGCATTCCTGGAGGCGGGTCAGTGCGTCGCTCCTTCGCGACCGGCCACTCTCATCCTGCGCAGCCTCCCCACCCAACCGACCGTCAGGCGACTTTCCCCGAATTCCCAAGGGAGAGATGCTGGCCGGACGTGCGGGGGGGGGGGTCGCTGGCGTGTTGCGGTGGCCGCCACGCTGCTGCACCCACCGTGGGACACAAAGGCCAGCTAACTACCTGGCTCCAACAGGCTACGGGCGCCAAAGAGCCGCCCGCTTGCCTTATGCCAAGATAGCCTGTGACACGGGTCCCTTTCCAGGAGGGCGAGCCCTGCAGCCCCCCCTTCCCACCAAGGGAGCCCCGTCCGCGGGGTCAGGGAGCGGAGATGCCACGCTGGGGCTGCCCAGAGGATGTTCACCAAGCCCCTCCGTGCGGACCGCCGAGGGCCACGGCCCCCTTTCTCCAGCACGGTCTGGAAGGAGGCCCGGGCGGAACAGAGCTCCTGCCGCCATCACTGCCATCTGCCACCTTCCCGTTTCGGGACTGCCATTTCGGCTTGCTCTTCCTCCATCCTGCTCGGCCGGGAGGTGATGCTGCTCATCTCCACAGCTGCAGAGGAGCCAAGGAAGCAGAATGTCCGGCCGAGCTTCCACTGCTCGCTGTAGCCTGAAGCGCCACCAGCAAAGAGCGGGCGCACTCATTAGAAAAGAGTACAGTGGCTTTGCGAGCATCCTGAGAGACTCAATAGGACAAGTGCCAAGCCCCCCACCTGGGAAAAAGAAACTAGACTCATCGATACAAGATGGGGAACACGTGGCGCAACAGAACGGAAAAGGAGAAAGACCTCGGAGTAACTGTGGCAGCGGGCTAAATATGAGCCAACAATGCAATGCAGCCGCCAAAAGGGCAAACGCTATTTTGGGGTGCATTAACAGAAATATTACTTCCAATTCACAAGACATAGTAGTTCTCCTATATTCCTCAATAATCAGAGTTCATCTGGAATACTGTGGCCAGCTCTGGGCACCAAGATTTAAGAAAGATGCAGGTAAATTAGAAATGGTCCAGCGGAGGGCAACAAAAATGATGCAGGGTTTGGAAATGCTGCTCAATGAGGAGAGACTAAGAGAACTGGGCATGTTCAGCCCTGAGAAGAGAAGACTGGGGGGGTGGGCGGGCATGAGATCCCTCTGTAAGTACCTCAAAAGAGAAAGGCCAAGATCTCTTCTCACTGATACCAGAGCGCAGGACACGGAATAAGCAATTCAAGTTGCAACAACCCAGATTCAGGGTAGATACCAGGAAGAGCTTCCTCCCGGTCAGAGCAATGGGGCAGTGGGACCAGCAGCCCGGAGAGGTGGGGGGCTCTCCCACACTGGGGACATGCAGAAAGAGGCTGGGCAGCCCCCTGAGTGCGACGGTGTCAACTGGTGCCCCGCAGCAGCTGGGGGTGGGACCCGGTGGCCTCCTGGCCCCTTCCAGCCCTGCTGTTCTGCGATTCCATGGCACCTGAAGGCCAGAGAGTCGCGAGGTCAGCAACAATGGCATTTTTTTTACCACTGGAGAGGTGAAGAGAGCAATGGATGAAAAAACTCAGCTCCTGTGCAGTTCCTCTTGACCTTCGGAACTTAGAGTGAAAACTGGGCAGAGGACGCCCATTCCCTAAACCTGCCTGTGGAACTGGCGCTGGCAGAAGCTACAATATCCTCCAGCCAAGGCGAGAATTCCGCCCGTGCAGACTGGCTTTTTCCTTTATCACCCAGTTTGGCACATATGGAATATTTCCTCTCCAAATGCACTGCGCTTCTAACACGATTCTCATGCAGACTTCTGAAATGAGGAGCCAGAAAGCAGATGCGACGAGGCAGGCGAGAAGTGCAGCTGCCCTCGCCACCACTGAATTTAAATGAGGCAAAGGCCATGAGTCACGGGGCTCCTCGGAGTGTGCTAAGCAAGACGCGTACAAATAAACCCAAGACTAGAAGTACTATAAATGGAAAATGTATGCACTGAAAAATGCAGTTTAGCAACCTTTAAATACCACAGAGGAAGCTAAAGCTGGATCAAAGCCACGGAGGAAGAGGGTAGTTCTAAGCCGAGTCCAGGAGAACGTGCCCTCTGGACCGCCTCCCCTGACCAGGGGCTCGTGCTGAAGGCCGAGTTGAAAATGCAGAGGATGCCGCATCAAGCCCCCCAAGTTCTTCCCTCAGTCAGGTCCCCGCAGGGGCCCTGGGTCTCTGGTACACACCCCAAAGCAGCCTCCTCCAAAGGTGCTTGAAGTGTGAGCGCCAGGAACCAATTCCAAGCCGACAGATGCCAGACCTTCCAAATTATTCTGTGTTTCAGCGGCATTTACACCAAAAGCAGAACAAACTACATTTCACACAAATATCAGGAAAGGTCTATCCCAATCTTTGCACCACTGATGATATAATCTGGGTAGAACATTTGCATTTTAACTAACAACGCTCATGAGATGATTATCTTTAAGGACTAAGCCTGGTCAGATTTCCTTAATTACAAAGAAAAATCCACACATAATAGAACTACAGGTTCAAGATGTTTTGAAAACTGTATCTCCCCACTGGCTATCAAGAGCCATGCATCAAAATACTGACTGTACATGAAAGGGTTAACAGGTCATATTGTTAATTTGGTGGAAGCAAAGGAGGTTCATGAAATGCCGTTGGCTGACTTGATATACCAAACAACACCAGCTTCTAAAATTCAGCCCGATCAAAAGTCACCTGGGAAATGGGATGGGTGGCCTCCAAACTGATGGAATCTACAATTTAAAAACAAGAGGCATTGGAAGTATCCTGCAACGAGGAGGAAGCTGCCTCGGAGGGCTTCGCGCGAGGCGTCCGTGGCACAAACAGGGATCCTGAGGTGACTGGGATCCTGACAGAGGACCAGAGACAGGCAGGGCTGCGGCCAGGATGGAAGAAGAGAAGAGCCCAAACCAGCAGAAAGGCGCTTCCGCGATGGGGGGGGAGGAGGAGGAGGAGGAAGAGCCGCTGAGTGCACCGGCAGCAACACAGACCTTGAGGCCCACGGCTGGCGACCCAGCAGAAAAGGCTCCGGAGCCGGCGCTCACCTGAGAATTGTGCCGTCTCAGGATACAGCAGAAGCGCATCGCTTCGCCACGGTCCCCCAGCATCCACCTTTCCCAACCCAGTTTCTATCAAGACGAGAGTCTGGATTCAGTTTTTCTGGGGCTGCAGGGCACCAACCTCACAAAAATATACCGCATGAGCAGCGCTGGGTGTGCGGCTTTGCATTGCCGTATTCTGCTCTGTCCCCAGACTTAAAATATGCAAAGCGCTCGCGAGCTGCTGAACAAGCATTCCCCGCGGCACTGGCTCTGCGAAGATCTCGCCGCAATCCCGCCTGACCGCCTGCTGGGCTAGCAGCAATGGACAGGCAGACCAGCAGGCTGCCATGCAAGGCAGAGGCCTTCCAGCCCAGCCTGCTCAGACCGTGTCTTCCCCGGAGCCCCAGGCCCCCCTCCCCGGCCGGGGGGCTGGCACCTCCATGCCAGCTTCGTCCCGTCCCCCCTCCCCCGGCGACGCTTCCCTCCACACGCCGCAACTGCTTGTGAACCAAATGGCCATTTGATTGCCCAACAAGGCAGGACAAGGGAAAGCTGCCAATTTAAGGGAAGGGCAAAGTGTGGGCCAGGAACGCCCTCCGGAACCATTCCCAGACCCCAGACTTGTAGCAGCCCATGGGAAACCGGCATCAACAATGATCAGGGCAGCATGCAAACAGCTTCCAGCCAGCCAGCCAGCCCAGCTTGGCTCAAGAGGCGCCCACAGAGCAGAGCAGCTTCCCTGGCCAATGACCGCAGTGCCACGTTCCCCGGATGTGTCGGGCATCACCCAAGGGGCAGGGCACGGCAGCAGGGGTGCCTGGGCACTAGGGATTCAGCATGGTCACCCACACCGCTTTCTACAAGAGTGGCAACGATCCAGCGTTCACGTTACCAGTCCAGGAAAGCATCTCTTCCCCTGCAAAGCCACCAGCCAAGAGCACCTTCGCAGCAGACCTAGTCTGGGGAGGAATCGGCTCGCTGTTGAAAACACGGGAGGGGAAGCTGCTCAGCTCGCCTTTCAGGGCATGATCAAAGAAAGCCACAGAGAAAGGAGGCGGCGGGCGAGAGCCCAACTTCTCGTCAAGGCCGCAGACGAAGGAAACTCTTCAAGGGGGCACTCTGGGAAGAAGCGTCCCACACCACGAAGCAAAGCCCTCCTGGCCTGCCTCGGACTTTTCCTCTCAGACATCCATCATCTAACTGGCCATTTGGGATTTGACTGGTCTCTCAAACTGGCATTCCCCTTCTGGGGAGGCTTGCCTGGAAAGAGACGACCCGAGAAGTCCCCGGAGCCACTGCCAGAAGAGCTGCACCCGTCTCTCCTCTGCCTTCCAGCCACGCAGCCTTCCAGTAGCTCAGCTCAGACCGGGGAGGGCCTGCTTCCTCTCCCATTCCCTGAACGGGCACTCTGGGCAGAGATGCCGCCTGTGGAGGGGCACACAGGAAGCGCCGCCGGGGGACGCTTGCGCCCCAGCGCACAGTGGTGCTCCCAGCCAGGGCAGGGCGGGGGAAGCCCATGACCTCCCTCTGTTGAGAGACAGCTCTCACCATGCCTGGCCGGCTCGGCTGACAGAATTGCAGGCGCAGCTCCCGGAGGGCAGCAGGCCGCACGGCCAAGGCTGAGGGTGCGAGGGAGCGAGGCGCTGCACGCTTCAGATGGGAACACTTCCGAGGCATCTGCCATTTCAACCCACAGAGGAGGCTGCAGTTCCACCGGCGAGAACGCCCGAGCTCGGGAGCAGGCACTGGCATGCTTGGTGGAGCTTATTCCCAGCCAGCCGGGCCGGGCTGGCTCTCGGGAACCTCCCAAGTCGGGCACTAGCCCAGTGGCAGCCCAGGGCATGCATGGCCTGCATCCGGCCCCCGCCAGGAGCTCCAGGACCGACCGTGAGCCCAGGGGCAGCTCCGTGAACGACTCTCTTGTCCCAGGAAAGAGAAGTGGCACGCCCCCACTCTGAAGAGCCCGGTTGGCCACAGACCTGACTAGAGCGGGCCCTCGGCATTGTTCCCGCTCTGGCCTTAAAAAAGAGCGAGAGACAGATGTGCTCTCTTCCAGGCACGTCTCTAGAGTCAGGATCACAACATCGTGCAGGCACAAGCTGTATCCTGAAGGGCTCAGGGGGGACATGGAGGTGGAGGAACTCAGCTGCATGATTTCTCAAAGACAAACCGCACTTTCTGGAAGCTGAGGCCTCGGGGAGCCCTGAGGGCCCCCAAGGTGGCCCTGGCTTGCTTTCAAAGACCACACGCCCCAGCAAGCCAGAGCGCCACACAGGCACCCAGCAGTCAGGAATGGAGAGTACGCTCTACCTACTTTTCACCCGTGACGCTGACATCTTCCGGGCCTTTCGGGTTCCGGCTGACAGCGCAAAACACGAGGCTCCGAGAGACGCTGTTTCGTTTTGGTGCAAGGACGAGGTATTCTCTCACAAAGGCCGAGTCGATGTTTAGCTTCAGAGCTGGAAGGACCAAAGTTCACTCTGAGGCTCCAGGAAGGCTTAGCGTTGGGAAACCCTCCACGACCTCAGCCCAGCCCCACAGAGAAAGACAGCAGCCCGCACAGGGGTGTCTGCAAGCCTCCGACTGTGTCCAGCTGGCAGGAAACAGGTCATCTCTGGCTCGCTCATCCTCTCCCTTCAGGGAACTTCTGAACAGGGCACCTGAGGGCACGCGGTCCCCAAGCTGCCCGCTTCCTCCTTGCCCTGTGAACGGAACAGGAGCCCTTAGGACAGAGCTCGCCCACAGCACTTGCACACACACCCAGCCACGTCCCAGCCAGCTATTCCTTCAGTCACGCTGGCGCTACCACCCCCGAAAGGCCAACAATGCCAGCCGATTGAGGGGGCGGCGGGGCGCAGCAGGAAGGCCTGGCTTCGTTCTGAGCCCCTTCAGGACAAGAACCTTCACAGAAGGCATCTCTCAACCACAATCAGACGTTGAGACACAACTGCAACCAACAGCCGGAAAACAGGCAGCCGCACAGCTGGAAGCGTTGTGGAAACACCCAAGTTCAGGAGCACAACCCAGTGAGCACCGCGGCAACAGGTGCCGCTGCGGGGTGTTTCGGGGCCAGAATATGAGCGCTCTGGGGGCAGCGCTGATGCCAATGCCTTCCAGAACAAACAGCATGTCCCCACGGCGCCACAAGACGCAGGCCAGTCAGGCACTCCAGCAGCATCTCTGCGGTTAGGGAAGGGGCTTGAGCGCCGGGACCTCCTTCCCGAAGGCCACTGCCCAATTTCACAGTGCTCTTGCACCGGAGGGGGAAATGGGGCCACGGCAACTGCCCCTCCGGAAAGTTTTCAGGAGCGCTGGCGGGCTCCGCCAGCCCTCCAGCCCCGGCACCCAGAAGGGCGCCCGCCTGCTCCGCGGCCGGCACCGTCGCCCAGCTCTTCCTCCGCGGCGAGGCTGCCGCCCTTCCGAAGGGGCAGCTGCTGCAAGCCAGGCCTGGGCGGGGAGGCGCCGCTGTTCTGGCCTCCCGCCCCGTTTCTGCCGGGCCCGCGGCGACCCGCGGGGGCTGGGGGCAGGTTCCCCGAGGGGGCTCCTCGAGCACCGGGCCGGCCGCCGCCGCGAGGGCCGCCCTCGGAAATTCGGTTGCTCTGCCGCAATCCGCCAACGGGCCTCGGAGCGCGGCGCGCAATAGGGGCGGAAAGCCGCGCCGCGCAAATGCAGAAGTGGCCGGCAGAGGCGGCGGCGTCGCGAGGCGGCGAGCTCCGCGCCCCGGGCCGCGCTCCGGGGCC